TTAAGAAGTCAAAAATGCACATTTTTAAACAAAATAAGCAATTATCTGGTAAGTTAGAAGAATTTAGTTAAGTATAATCTACCTAAATCCTAAGTTACAGGGACATGTGGAAACATGTGCTTATGACTTTTTTAATGAGACTTACAGATATTTAAAAATCGTTGTAGATAAAATATACTACATAGTATAACGCACAAGTCATATAACATAATAAAACAATTTTAAGATAAATGTAAGTTATGTATAATTAAATCGTAGTTTAAAAACAATTATGTGTGAATTCCACAATGTCTCGAAATTAATTATCTATAGATTTCTCTTAGCGTATCATACAAGATTTTGATGAATTCTTAGTTTGCCGAAGTCAGCGCACATGTTCAGTACCTTCTAATCTTTTGTGTTAAGTTCAAGTCTGTATTAAAGTGGACACGAAATATAGTATTTGAAATTAAAAAATAGTAGTATAGTAACAGTATAACAGTCGATAAGAAAGTAAAGAGGTTTTAAATAGATGTTCGTGGAGTACTACGTGTAAAAATTCTGCACGAGGAATAAGAACAATTTGATAAACGCTGCGAAATAAGAATAGTCCGTGATGTACGTTGTGCTTCAGTTGCATCTGGGAGATAAATATCAAATTGGTGTCCTATGCAGATTTATGCCCACAGAAAATTTTTAATGCTATACCGATAATTTTGGTACCAATAGCTTAATTTACCGATTGTCTGAATAGGTGTTTAACAGCTGGTAAAATCATTTAGTTCTTACGACACTACCTACCTGTCTTGTCCTGTATTGCTAATAACTCCACGCGGTCTCCGCTGGAAACCATCGTAGTCAAACTTGATTCTCGTAATATCATATGACAAGAAATGTAGTCTTTGTCTCAGCCTACACTATGAGCCTCCAAATAAGTTTACGATCATTCTCTCGGCTATAATATTAAGACGAATGTTGCTGTTCAATTCCTTACTTTCTATTGCTAACAGAAACCGATAGTAACTACTAATTTAATAGCAATAAACTTTATAAACAAATCCATTCCTGTCGTAAGCATCAAGCCATTGCTCAGTTTAAGGCCTATTACTTTTGAAAGCAGATTGCAATTTGACAATATTACATGTGTATTTTGCAGACATCTATGTTCAATATTCCGTCATTAAGGCTTCCAAAATACACATATAGTAATTAGTGTAATTCTCCTAAATAATACCTAATTCTCTAAATATTTCAGGTAATGCATTACCCACATCCAATTGCGAGGACTGGTCACACAATATTCTCGAATTGCTCAAAGTACATACGATACGCATTGGTTTGTTTAATTTCAATGGGGCGCTTTGATTAATTTTCAGATACATTTTGTAATCCAGCAATAATTTTAATTATTTGTCGATGGTAAATTAATTAATTACTTAATTCTATGTTTGCGATGTATAGTATATTTTTAAGCTGTCAAATTGCGATGGGTTGCGACGCTCTTATTGCCTATACAGTTGACTAAACTTGATTGATTAAACTAAAAATTTATCAAAATTTGTAAAAATTTTTATCAACAGGAAACAATATGTCAGTAATGTAGAATCTACAACAATGAGAAGTGAAGTGAGAAAGCACATCATCACCCTGGTCACGGAGTAGGCAGAGAAATCTTATAAATCGTTTCAATGATACTGTGTAAAATCAAGAGATCTATAGAGAATTAATGACATAAATACGTAACGATATTGTATTTTTTTAAGTACAGCAATCATCAGAACCAGTAACCGATGAAGATGAGGCTATAACTAGTAATAAAGGCACTTTTGTCACTATATGAACGATGTCAGATGTGTCCCAGGAAGAATAGAATAGAAAATCCTTTATTCAAATAAAATTAATTTAAGCACTTTTGTATAGTTATAGTTTTTTTAATCTATTGCTCATTTGGAAAGCTGTCGCTTCACACGAAGAAGGGCAGAAATTTGCGTGATGCTCTTTAAAAAAATTGTTGAAACTACATTTTCAAGCCAAAATGTGTGAATACAAACTACCAAATTAAAACTAAAATCCGTCGTAGTGAGTAGAGCAGACCAGTTCCTACAAGCAGAGCTCGTTCACGAATATGACGGATGAGCCAGTCATTACTGTCACTCTAAGATCAATATAGATGTAAATGTTCATTGTTCCAGGGAGCTTATAAGGTCTGTTCAGTATTATAGAATTCAGCTGTAATTATGTTGATGTACAACAAAGCATACTTTAAATTTGATGTAATATTTCAAGTTATATCCTTATAGGTTCACCGAAGCTCAGTATTTGACAAGCACAACAATAGTGCGTATACAAAATTTCTGATTCCTCACCGTCTAAATTTTCTCCTACATTTAGCTTCTGTGATGCAGTAATTTAGGATTCCTAATTCTATAAACTCTATTTGTCAAATGTTTTATCAGTTTCAGGAACACGCCTTATAATTGTTAAGTGTGTAGCTTAAAATGTATTGTCCCCAATGCTATATAAAAAAGGTGTTTAATTTCTTCATATTAGCAGAAGGAAGAATATTCATATCTTAGTAAATAATGTTATTTTATATTTATTGGAGTTGAACATTATATCTGAACTAACCTTTCACTACTTGATACATTCTGGAACAGCGAATATATTGAAAAGGAAATTGTATGAAAGGACGTTCAAAACTACATTAATTAGTGGGCTTAATGGATAAAATTTACTAGTACCTCCAAAGGACATACAAAAACATTCCGTTGAGATGCCACCAGTCCGCATATACCAAAACATTACGAATATTGAGTACTATGTTGCGGGTTTATATTTTAATGACAAATATTCATCGTTTTTCGAGTTTCTAGCACACTAATGTTTACATAAGAGTTGCCGCAAACGAGATACAATCCTCGATGAATTGTTTTTCTGGTTTAGTAGAAGACAGCATTTAGGTTTGCCACAAATGAGGTACATTCCTGAATAAATTGTTTTTCTGTTAAGTAAAATAGAAGACAGCATTTGCAGACTTAAAACTGCTATAACCCTAAAAAAAATTGTGTTATCGACTTTATCGTCACAAAATGTAAGTAGATTTATCAGAGCAGGTTTTTTTTTTTGTAAATGCTGATCATTTGAGCGTGCAACACCTCTGTAGATAGTAGTCAAGATAAAGCAAATACTTCGTAGGCCCTATAAAGTTTTTTTTTTAATCTAAATTTATTTTGGGGATTTTGTTTTTAAACATTCCATTTATTAATCGTAACAATTCAATTCGCTCTATAAAGTATATTAGATAAGTAGACATATATCTGATTCATAGTTTTTTTTACAATGTTATCTCATTTTTGTAGATGCACTGCCTACATATATATGTTTATCCTACACTATGGTTGACTGGGAGAAATTGCCTTAAGCTGAGTCCGTCATGTGCACCTTCACTTGTGTAATAAAGTTTTAATAAATAAAATAATATATTCTATATTATTCATCAGGATATATAGCGAGTTAAAGAGCTATATAAATGAAAATAATTTTGTATTTTTAATACTAAACTGATTATGTGAATGTCCTGTTTTATTTTATTAAAATTATTTATTAAAAATTAATTATTTATTAAAATTATTTTCATTTGTCCAGTTTCTGCACCTCCTCATTGTGTGGCTCATATTTTTTTTATATAAATGATTTGATTATGATATTTTTATTCGGCTACAATTAGCATGTGAGATTAAATTGAAAATTTATGATCTCACACATACTAATTAACGAGCAATTAAACAAAACAATATAACTCCATCAAGTAGTGAAAAGGACGTCCGCAAAATAACACCTAATTCGATTAAATATATTTTTATAATAACAAGATCTTATCATAAGCATGATTCACGAAGTATTTAAAAAAAAATTCATTAATTTTATCTGTCATTATAGCCAAGTACAAAATATTTACATGATATGTACGCACGTGACTGTGCCTGTATTAGGAAATAGATGTATAAATATCCCTTATTTATTATCTGTTGGTATTTTAGAAGACCGAACAATTTACCGTCACAATTGTGGATGAAAATCAAACGAGGGGACCAGTAGATGACCCCTAAAGACTGTTGCATAAGGCTTAGCTTATATTTCGATACTATGTTTAATAAGTAACTATCACTTATTCACAATTATGTTGCAGATACTAGACTATATATGTAGTTATTTAAAAATAGTAGATATATATATACTCTGATATATTTATCAGAAAAAGTGATACCTAACAATATCTACTTACCAAACACATGGAGGACTGCTCACATAATCTCGTACTAGAGAAGTAGGATGGTAAATATTTTTTTAATTATTAATTGTGTCATACTAACCAAGTGTAAAGTCCATCAGGATGCCCGCTATCACACCAACCATACCTCACAAATTATATATCCTTTTTTATTCTTTTCATATAGTTTCATGCAGTCCTACTCTTATATTCTCCAATAATTTACAGTATTTATCTCTATTTTCGTCTATTCTAACTTGTATTGTACATGATAATAATATTACCCAATCCAGATACTCTTTTGTAAAGTCTATAATTTTGTTTTACAAAAATTAGATGGATGTAGAATTTTTGCAAAACAAATATATCTACAAATTCAGAGGCTACAGTTTCAGTCTTTCTATAAACATTAAAGTAAGAAGCAGTTGTTTTTAGTTGTCAGTTTTTCTTGGCTCGTAAGTACATTCCAAACTGACGGTTAAGTCGAGTTATTAGTGTTTGTAATAGACCTACATGTAGACATTTTCATTTCATGTCCATATGTTTTTTAATATGTCCGAATTAAAATATAGGGTAATTGAATCATATTGTGTCGTTTTATTTATTAATATATAAATTATCTAATAAATACACACTTAATACTAATTAAAAATATATAACAAGTATGTGTTTGTACTGAGATGTTTTCAATGAAACTGTCCAATGAAAAACCCCAGCTTTCGTTTCAATATTTGTGAAGTTAAATAGCTACCTGAAAGCAATGAACGCATCTCCGAGCTCGCCTCCTACGATGTGGACTCCCCCTTCCGGTATTGAGAGTCCTCGAAAGAAATTCCTAATGTCCAGGGCATTGGCGGACCACGGGAGGTTTTGCAGGCGTATGATGACACTCATTGTTGCACCGTTACCTATAAAACAAGTTAAAGTCTGGTCCATTTCACTGTTTGAATATTTCTATTCATAAATATACATTACAAGTCACTCATAGATCTATAAATCAACACAGAATATACAAGACTGCATTACTAACAGTGTAAGTTATTCTATCATTAATATTATTACAGTTAACAATATAATCATAGGTCATTAGTGAAGAATATGTCATTAGGTAATTGAATCATTGTTAGGAAATAGAAAGTAATAATCATTGTAGATATTTTTTTATGTAATTGAATGGCAAACAAGCTGTCGTATATACCCTGGTATAACAGACGAATGTTACAGATGGGCGTAACATTCGTCTGTTATACCAGGGTATATAAAATACGACGGATTATTTACACTTTTTTTTTATGGATGATTAATAGAATGGTGCACCCGCCTGAGCTAACGGTTTACGCTGGCGCGGCACCAGTGGAGGTTGATTCCTATCAACCTTGACATGATGTCAAGTCAGTTAACCCATCTTGACAAATTCTCCAAGAATTTATCATCCAGGGGATCTGCGTGGAGATCAATCTGACATGGTACATTGCTAGCAATAGGGTTATTAATCCACATTACTAACAATCCACTTCCCCCACCCAATCCCATGCTAGTACCATACACACCTTCGGGTGACGCGCGTGGAAGAACAAATATGTTGCCATTCAGGAAGACTAAGATGTTATACTTTTGTACTCTGATGTTAAACAGTAAGAAAACTGAACTAAATAGTCAATGAACTAAACAGTAAAAAAAATTGTCTGGGTCGAAACTCAATCGCACTCGAGAATGCTTGCTTTGTAAGCTGCACCCTATAACCAATACGGTTGTAGGGTGCAGATTAGACAGGGAAATTACAGGATAAGAGGCATGACATGTTCTTCTAGTATGACAACGCATGGTTGCTATTCAGGGCGAGACATGATCTGTTCCTGCATGTAGGCGACGGTTACCGTTTACCAGCAAGTGACCGTCAGCTTGTTTACCATTCACATTGTGATATATAAAAAAATAAGAATAACCCAAAAAATATTAGTTTGTATATAATGATTGTCCGCAGGTTGTCTGTACTGCTTTGAACGATGAGGCCGCTCTTTGTTGGCATTCTTTATATTAAGTTCTTTTTTTGTAAATATTTTTTCTGTGCACAATAGTTATATTATTATTAATTGCCACATTTCCACAGCTTTTGCGGTTTTTACGCCTTGTGGCGTATACCACACTTTCGGGCCGAAACCAAGTGTAGTGAGTGTGTGTGTGTGAGAGAGAGAGAGTGAGAGTGTGTGTGTGAACTTATTGTGAACCTTATTATTATTATTGATAAAATATTAGTTTCAAAGTTTCTTTGAAATGATTCAGATCAAGATGTACTAAAAAGACGATATTTTTAGTATGCATTCGAATGCACCAATTTTAGTATATCCCGCCATCTTGGAATCATCTCGACGAAGACTGGCAGAAGCGACGTCGCAACTCCTCCAATCGGTGGTCTAAAGGGTTAGCACACCGCCTTCCGACGGGTGCGATTCCTTGCATCGTACATAAATTTGTATTCATGGGTATGATTGGTTGCATCGGTCTGGGTGTTTTCTACGTATATTATGTATGTATTTGCAAAATAATGTAACTAAAAGTATTTATAGCAGTTGTCTAGTACGCCATAACACAATATCTGCTCAGCTTGGGCGTAGATGCCACTGTCTGAATTATCCAGGAATGTTATGGCTATTATGTCTATTCCATACTAATATGTAAAGTAAAAGAAAAAATATATCACTGTTATTATTTTATCACTATTAAACGGCTGAATAGATTTTAATAAATTTAGCGTAAAGATAGATAGAGTTAACTATTTTATCTAAAAAAAGCAGAATAAGTCGCGGTTAACTTTATGATACATTATTAATATGATAGGATTTAGAATGTCCGTGTAATTTAGTATATACGAAAATAGCTTATATTTATATTTTTACCAAATTGTCCTTGCAATTTCTATCTCTAAACCCAACTAGTGGTACGCCTTTGGTTCTGATAATAAGTTTTGGAGATGTATAACATATATGCATGTCACTGAAATAAAATCTGTATGTATAATATCATAGTGTTTATATCATACAGTTGCTGTTACCCGCAACTTCTTAAGCGTTAATTTTAACTTTTTTACTTTTAAAATAAATAAATATAATCTTATATAAAAGTTGCCAAGTCATCATTAAATATCTAAGAGTGAAGGTTACGTCAAAATATTTCCTGCGGTTTCCGAGAATAGCAAGAACAAACAAACAGACAGAGAGAGTATTTTTTATATAAGCTCAGTATATACATACTTTCACATGTATTTAATGAATCTTGAAATAGCTCCAACTTCAAATTACGAACAGACACTACAATGTATTTATTTGTATAGAACATAAATTTCAAAACATGATTTATAAAATTAAAATAAAATAAAATCAGCTTTCCAATATACCATACTTGATATATATCCTTTAATACTCTAAAAGAAAAACTAACCATCTATGGGAGTATTTACCTACTAAATCACTATTCAAAACAACCTAGAGTGGTACTAACAAATTTACCTACATACGCACATATGTACAGAGATTGCACATGTGATAAGACCAGCCTTTTGCCTTAGAACTAATGTTAGAACCATTGACGGCCTCAGTGGTTTCTACGTAGGTATTATTTGCGTATTTACAAATCAAAAATATCGAAACATTTATATAAGTTGTCTAGTACCCATAACAAAATCTCTGCTTACTATGGGACTAGATGGCGCTGTGTTAATTGTCCAGGGTTATTTATTATTATTATAAATATTTATTTCTAAGGTGTACCTATATATTAAATGTAATATTTCAATTATTAAAAATTGAAATTAAATTATTCTTACTGCATTATGAACCAATAATTATACTTATTACTGTAAGACCTGCTACATAATATACTTTGATTGTGAAATGGACTACCTGTCGCCACTATAGACTACTGCATGGGGCTTCCCAAGGACATATTAAAGCTTCTAAAGGGTAAACAATGCACAGGTGGCAGGTGAATGAAACACCAGGGGGTGTTTCTTTCCATAGGCTACTATAACTGTTACCATCAGATAGGACATATGTTTCATTACCAACATGGTTGTATAAAAAAAATACTTCAATTTGTAACAAATATTGTTAGTAGCTTACATTACAATTAACTAAAAAAATACAACCACATTTAGAAACTACTCTATTTTGTAGGTTGGGTAAAATACTACATTAACAATATTGTAAATATGATAGAAGAATTTAAATAGTCAAGACAAAACCAATCCTAAACATCTTTTGTAATAATTTACTTTTATACCTAAAAATTATTTAAACAATTGTAAGGATATAATTTCTTTCAATACCAATTTTATTTTAAGAAATAGGGTAATACAATTATTTTTTATGAATGATAATGGAATGATGCACCTGCCTGTGCTCACAGTTTATGGCATCAAATCAGATTAGTTCAAGATGGGCTATCTTGGCAAGATTTACCATGATGGTTTCTAGGAAGGAGTCAAAGGTCTTTGACAGGGTATATTGCTAGCAATTAGTCCACATGACTAGGGGGAAAAGCGATTGTCTGGACTGATGATCTTATTGCTAGCAATATACCATATCAGGTTGATCTCCACATGGTTCCCCCTGGAATCCAATGTGATAAATTCTTGGTGTATTTGTCACGATGAGCTAACAGACCTGACCTCATGTTCATCTTATCATCCTCCACTGGTGCCCCATCAGCGTAAACCATTAGCACAGACAGGTGCACCATTCCATTATCATCCATAAAAAAAATTCTACATCATTAACAATCCACTTCCCCCCTAACAATACTATATTGAGATTACCCAACAAATGACTATTTTGGAATGAGTGATATTCGAAAGAAAGTGATGGACAACAATTTTTTTATGTTATTGGCACACAAGTTAACAACCCATATGATGCTAAGTGGTAATTGTCACCTATATGTATAAACAGACATACAGACATCACATTATCATAAAGCACCTGCAATACCACTGATCCATTGCATACCACAGCCTCATCATGCCTCTTATCCTATAATTTCACTGCATCATCTAATCTCTCAATAGAAACAACACATTCAGAAATTTGTCATGATTGACTGAGAACACTCCACTTTATTTGCATTGTATAATCATTGTCTAGAGCTCTAACAGTGATTACCATTAGCACAGAAAGAACTATTCCATATTCATCCATAAAAACATTACTAACACATAATATTATATGTTAGGAATGTTTTTTTTTATATAAACAAAATGTCTTGTGTGTAATAAACAAACACAATGTTTTTTCTAACACATAATAAATTCTCCAGGAAATAATGTTGGAGACTTTATGGGAAGTGACATGATTCCACGCTCAACTGGAGCATACTGCCAATATTATGTTTGTGATGTTTGCTGATTCATTCATTCTCTTATCTTTCACATAAAAGAATGTAATGCCCAATAGGTAGAATGTTATTTAGCTTTTTGTACTTTATTTATAAATATAATAGAACAGAAAGGATTCAACAAGTTGATACAATATTTTCCAAATTATTACCTTACATAATCACTCACCAATTCAGTTTAAGTAGAATAAAGGTTAGATTAATACTTTAAAATGTAAGCTGGTGTATATATTTTTGTTTATTGTTTTCACTAGACGCCATAATGTTGTATACAATAATATGTAGTCCCATATTTTAACAGCAATAATATCTCAATTATGAACCATAGATAAACAGTAATATGCCATTGGTTTTATTTGTAAAAGTGACCAGTGATTGCCAATATAAAGTTAAGTAAAATATTATGTTTGGAAAAGCTACATGTATACACCTTATAGAGAAACACAGTGTAACAGATGCATAAATTTCAGTAGTATGCAGTTAGGATTGTTCTAGAACAGAAATTCTAAAACAAAATTTCTGTACAGGTAAGGGGGAAGAACCATAGAGTTATAACCTATTGTTATTCTACATAAGATATATAGCGCAATAAATATTATTATTAACAATTGAATAATAGGCAATATACAAAATTACAAAGTGAACAAGTTGTTCCTTGTGATAGTGACGCCATGCCATTGTTTGATAATGATATCGTAATAAATTCAGGTCGTCACCGCCTTGGACTTACCTACAAATACACAAAGTTATACGTTTTCAAACAATCAGCATTGACATTTTTTGTACACAAATAGTTCACAATGAAATATATCACATACGTTGTTAAACTTTAAAGATCATTCAATTTATTTAATATCGGCAGCAGAGCGTCATTCCACGACAGAGGAAACAAAATTAAAATGGCGGATGGAAATGGCGATTGTGTTTTTAAAAGACATTTTACGGCTATGGATAACTGCCGTTGTTAATTTTTATATAAGAGCCAATCTCATAGAAATTAATTTCAGCAACCACATTTTTTTATTGCGTATATATAACTTTTTGTATTATGTACATATAAAAGAACATAATAGTGGGTGGGTGGCTGTATTTTCAAATTTAACAAACACATACATAATTGCAAAAGTTTTAATTTCATTATAAACAATTAGAAAACATAACTTGAATACAAACTTTTGTGTGTCCATTGGCAACTCTATTTCTCCTAATTCCGTTGTGAAACAATTCTTCGAAGTTATAATAAGTACATGGTATGGTCGAACAACCTACTATCCAGATGCCTAAAATTATTATTAAAAAAAATTGCTGTCATATAAATATTTGTCTGTGAGTGAATAAAATTAGCGAAAAATAATTATACTTTTATTTTTACACAACATATAATTTCTCTACTTCTTCAATTTAGTAATATTTTGTAAGTACAACTCAATATTTTTAAAATGGTTTCCTTCTATGTATTGTTTTTATTATTATTAAATAGATGATGTCAATAATAGGCAAATATAAAATTCGATTACAGTTAAAAAAATATTTATCCTAATTTGCCGAATTGTTTCTCTTTCGTTATTATTGTTTCTAAATATTTTTTTACTACAGCATATATATTTTAAAGTGACCTTCTATTAAGAGCATTACTTAAGTAATTCTATGGTGTTGTTTCTTAATATGTTTTTATGTTTTATTTCTTGCATCTTAACGGTTTAACTTTGTGTTTTTACGATGTATGTTTATAATTAGTGACCGATACATTTTAATAATTTAATTAATTTATTATAACGTATTGTTCAGCAGTGAATAAACAATGCATGTTGACTTAATTCTATATTCTGTTAATTAATAGAAAATATTATTGATTCATTATTTTGTAATAATATTAATATTCAAGTTGTATATAAGATATCAACTAATTATAGTTTTAAATATATGTTTGCATCTCAAAATTGAACCTTATAATATTAATTTTTAATCTCATAAGATTAAACAATTTTTTTTATTTTAAAGGTCAATGTCTTCACAGCCATCTAGATTTATTTTTAAATATCGTGCTTTCCTTTTGGTGTACAGGACAATAACCATAGTTTTTTTTTCAGATACAACAATCAAGTCATTGATTTCTGAATTTAAACAGTATATGCCTAGGTAGTTTAAAAATGAAGTTTTAAAGTTCTTGCTCAATATTTAAGTAGGTTTTAGACATTTTTGACTAGTTGGTGTATGTTAAAGTGGACTAAATGTGTGATAGATATCCTGGATATTTGTTTGGAGGGACTCCTGTCAGTAGTTGGGACAGGGGTTTCAATACAATGGAGAATGTAAGTAGATATTTTTTAATCAAACTTTTTTCACATTGTTTTTGTGTATATAATATATAATAATTGTATATGTAATGCATAAACATTTTCATTTATATTATAATGTATAAACATCACTTAAGTGTAAAACTTCCATACTCTGTAATTTCACTTCCATACTGCCCGAATAATTAGGTTTACAGCTTACAAAGCAAACTGTTTAACAGCTATAATAGACTATATATATGGATACCTATACAGTGGACCTTGTAAAAACTAATTACAATCTTGTTAATTAAAGTAAATAATGGAAACAGGGTATTTACTGTATATTATATATACCTAAGCTAATAATTCAATGCCTACAAACAGTCTGCTCATGGTTTAAATGGAGGTAGCAGTGGATTTAAATATTTATCATGAATGGAAAAATCTCTTTACCTATTTTCTCAGTTGTTTTCTCCATACACTATCATCACTATCACTGGAAAACTTTATACAGTTGATAGTAATAACAAAATGCTCTCTGTATTATTTTGACTTTGTAGCATATCTAATTTAAGATTTATATGTTTACATACCTAACATCTATATAATATTACTATAATAAATATCTGTTTATATTATTTTGATTTTATTCTGCTTTAGACAATCTATAATATAAAAAAATGTTATTTTTTCTGATGCTCAGTCACATGATGTATTTTTGAAAGGATATTCTTTTATTAAACAGATATAGTTTATTATTACTTAACACTTGTGTATGTTTGTTTACATTTATATATGGTATTCAAGTATAGATTAACATTCATAAATACATTTTTTTTTGTTCATTTCAATATAAGCATTTAAGTACAATAGCTCTCTTCAATTTTTCTGCTATATCTGATCTAGCAGTGTTTCATTAGTGGTACCACAGGTTAGTGGTTTAATAGTACAGGTAGACCACAGTATGTAGTCCAGAATTATGTATATGAGGGTCTGCTATCTTATCTATGGATGATGGATAATTTAATTTAAGAAATAAATGCCAGAAAGTCTCTTAATATTTATGCCTACTTAGCTTGGAGCATAACTCCATGAAAAGACACTATATATAAGAGCAGATTTATATATGTATATTCTAAGACATGTATGAGACCTTATTTATAAATAAATAAATGATTAAAATCAGATAGGAGATTACAACTAAGTATTAATCTAGTAATATTTGGGTTGGTGTTAGTACATAGTTGTAATTAACTAAGTACTAACATTAACCCAAATATTACTAATTTAGTTGCATAAGATTACCCAACCTTCATATTAATACACAATAGAAGGAATGATTTTTTTTATGATAATTACTTTTTCTTGTGTATTTTTATTATAGCGATGTTTGAAATCGTGTTTAATTTTCTAGGGCTCTGTGAACTGAAAAAGGTCATAGGAAATGAGATTCAATAGTTTAAGAATTGTGCCTTAGAATATCAACCTTCTAGATTTAGAAACAAATCTAGTTGGTTTTGCACAAAAAAAAAACATTTTTTGTTATTTGTTTGTGCGATGAACAACTTTTTTCATTATATAATTTCTTTGTTCAAAATATTTTCATTTAAGGTTTTTGTTGTTAATTTTATTAGTGTTATACTTTGTTTGTTGGTGATTAGAATTTCTTCATACAAAAAAATGTAAGTTTCTACTGTTTAATTTAGCATGATATAATTATTTCAAAATATGGTTGTAGCTATGGTAACTGGGTAAAATAGAGCTCTGTATTTCATTTCCACAAAATTTTAATATGTATCTAGGGCCTAGGGGTAAGCTTGTAAATATATGTGTTTAATATGCTTACAGGCCAAACATTGTGATAGTAAAGATTTTTTTTCAGTGTCCATATTTCCAGATTCCCAGTAGAATCATTGTCTCCTTAGGTGGTTCTGATTAGTCATCAGTTCCAATAACCTATGCCTTAGAAGGCGAAAATAAAATAAATGGTTATCTGAAGTGGGATAACAATGAGCTGTCATGTTGATGATGTGTCTAAGTTTTCATTACTATTAGGCATGGCAGTGGCATAATTTGTTTAAAAGAGGAAAATTGATAATGTTTTTATAATAACAGAAATATGCAAGGAAACTGGAAGTCCACTTGATGGTTAGTGGCAACCAATATAAATTAATAACACCATGGACTTCACGTCGTCATATGACACCCATGGTAACACTTATACATTGCCATTCCACCAAGGTATGACACCTTGGTGGAATGGCCCTTAAATTTCAGTTAAAATATTAAACATGTATTTGTATTGTTATAGAAATATATTAAAAACTAAACAAAGGAATGGCGATCAAAGTATCATTATGAGAACATTGTACCACCTAGTGTGAAATTTGAATGTTTGTAAGTTTTTCTAAGCTTTAATAGCACCCTTATAATCCATTATTAATGAGCTCTGTAACTAAAGCGCCAGTAAAAGAGGAGTCCCATTTGAATTGGAAGTGTGCCAGCCTCTCGTACATGCCGTCAATGCAAGTAGGGTTACCATTTTATGGCAGAAATGTAACACTGTACCAAAAATTCGTATACGTAATTGTTATTTTTCTGTAAATTTTGATCAATTTAGTAGAATGTATAAAATGTGGAATATTTTGCCGGCTTCAGTGGTCTAGCGGTTTAGCACACCGCTTTACTTCCGTTTGTTGCAGGTTCGAATTCTCGCACTGTGCAAAAAAAAAATATTCATGACTATGATTGTTTGTATCGCTGGGTGTTGCTCGCCTGGGTGTTTTCTATGTATATTATGTATGTGTTTACAAAAAAATATATCTAAGTATTTATATCAGATGTCTAGTATACATAACACAAGCTCTGCTTACCATGGGACTTGTGATGATGGCGCTGTGTTAATTGTCCAGATTATTTATCATTTAATACTTTCTGTTAACAGCGACTTCATCTGTTTTTTTTATACAAAGATCTTAAATATATGATATTTTTATAATAATAAAATTATATTATATTTTTTTAAAGTTTTAAAGAGCGGTATATCATTGAGCCGCGTCCTTGTGAGAAGTTAAGGTTAAATAAACAGACTGATGTCCTGTTAACTATATATAATACAATATCCATTAATATTACTAGCTGTTACCCGCGAGTTTGTTTGCACAAACATTCATCCCTTATTAACCTCCACATTATGTGTATGTTTGCTTTGTATTGGACAAAAACGTAATGTTTAAATAAATAGTTGAAATTGTGATGCTAGTTTTGCAAGTCCTATTTTATAAGAAATATAGGTGTATATAGATTTCATTTGAAAAAGAAATTATATATAATGTATTAAATCACATTTACCATTTTTTCCGCATCGCGTAATGTCCTTGAGAGAAAATGTAGCCACTTGCCAAGAATGCCAACCAATATTTCACTTGTATGCCTAAAAGTATTGAATTCTGCTCAACATACATAGATCTGAAAAATTACAAAAAATTTTGTATTATTGTAATTTAAACGTCCATAAATGACTGGTACTGAATTTAATGGTGTTTTATACCCCTGGTTATTTTTTATAAACTGAAAATTTGGAAACTATTAGTGGCTGCTCCGGTTTCGCACAGTTCTACTTCTATTATACACATATATTTCATACTATGTAAAGATTATTTTAGTATGTTCATAACGATTTTAGGTAAAATACTACTTTGAGCCAATTTGCACAGGATTCGTTTTGCAACTTAAAAAACTGAGTATAACCCAGGACGGATTTTGATGAAAGTTTTTAGTAATATAGCTTTTCATAAAACACATAGACTATACTACCAGAAAACACATAATTTCAGAAAACACATAGATTATAATTTAAAAAATATATTCCATAATGATAAATGTTAAGTAAGTGTAATGCAGACGGAGTTGCGCGGACCAGACAGTTTATCATATTATTAATCATTCAGAGTGATTAATATTTTTTGAGATATTAAGCCAATTTCAATTTAGACGTCTTTAGGCGCCTGCCTGACAGGGCTGGCGTTCGATTCGGTACAGAGACGTGGTGACGTATGAAAATGGGCAAAGGAATATGTGCCAAACTGACTAGGTCAGAAAGTTTACAATTAATTACTTGCACAAGGTAAAGTTACTACAGTTTCGGTATAGGAAGTAAAAGCGCCGAACCGGTCAGAAAGGCGCCTTAGAAAAAATGCTTTTTTAGGTAGGTAATAGATGTTTTAGATGAGAAGCCTTGATGATTAATATCATAAATCTATGCAAATTTTAAATTGATCAATCTATCACATATCAATGGTTGTGAATGAGGAAGTGTGCTGTTTGCCTGTCTGTATGTTTTGGATACTAAACTGTGTTTAACTAAATGGTTCTTAAAGAAACTTGATGCCATGATAGAAATAAAGGATAGACTATCTTTTATTGACAGTAATATCATAAAGAGGAAATGTTTTGTATGTTTGTGACGAATAAACTCAAAAACTACTGCAGCAATTTGAAAAAATCTTTCAGCATTAGAATGCTTCAATATATCCCCCAGTAACATGGACTATATCTAAATATATTACTAAATAAATTATGTATTTCTATTAAAATTCAATAAACCTAAGGTGTAAAAAACAGTCCACGCGTGCGAAGTCGGGACTGACCGCTAGTCTTAAATAAAGCAGATCAAAACCAAAATCAAAAACCATTTTTTCATGTAGAGTGTTAACCACTTATGAACGTCAGGTTTTTGTATTATTATTTAATTTGTCCTTATCGCCCAATTCAATTGAATCTGTGTTAGATTCAATTGTGAATAACTGTAAAAAAACTTTTTTTAAAAGCCATTTTTTTATATTGTTTATCTGTACGAATATATATGTTTAACATTAAATAAAAATTTTGCGCATGAAAAAAAATTGCCATGCGCGTTTTTCATTTAAGTAACATGTAGATGTATATATATGAAGCCGACTGTACATTTAGTTTCAGTACGTTTTTGTATTACGTACAGATGTGGCCACAGTCCAAACATAAATTGTGGTCACAGTGCATCTTAAATGTAACTATTGCAGTTGAAAATGCCACCGATTGCGGGACCTTTTGTCATATTCCGGACTCGACACTAGGTACTATAGGAACTCGATTTTACAATTTCCTCATAAGTTGCTTTTATTATACAACTAACTTACTTGTTTGCCGTGACTGCGTTTGTTTTTTTAGTTAAATGGTAGCTTATGTCTGTCATTCTTATATATTATTTACTAGCTGACCCGCGCTACTTCGTCCGCATGAATTTAACTTATTTTTTATTAAAATGAATAAAAGTTCCTAAGTTACTCCATATAACATTAGCTATTTGCGAGTGAAAGCACTGTTAAAATAGGTCCAATCGTTTCAGAGATTAGCAAGAATAAGCAGACCAAAAATGTTATATTTAATTTTTATTTCTTTCCGGTGTAAGTACAGCAAACACTATTTTGATATATAATTTAGAATGTTCTGTACATTACTATACTAACAAATTTTACATCAATCTTGAGAAATCCTTGATAGAGAGGACTGCTACTAAAATTATTCGAGACAATATTCAAATTCAAAAATAATTTATTCATATAAGACATATTAGGCGGTTATGAACGTCAAATTTTTTGTATTAATAATTTTTCCCTATCGTCCAGTTCAGTATATAGATTCAATTGAAAAGAACTGGCAAGAAACTCAACTGAATTTTTATTTTTTTTAAATACAGTTTATTTAAATTGTGTAATTATGTAAGTGTCTATGTCTAACATTAAATAAAAATCTCGTGCATGAAGGATTTTTTTTTTCATTGCCCATGCACGTGTGTCATTAAAGTAATAGTTAGTGAGTAATAAGCTTTGCTGAATAGATATGATTTAACAGATGTTTTTAATTTCTTTAAAGGTAAATCTAGTATATCATTTGGTATCTTATTATTTACGTATATTCATCATCATCATCATCTCAGACCGAAAGAGGTCCACTGCTGGACATAGGCCTCCCCCAAAGATCTCCACAACGATCAGTCTCAGCCATGACCACGATATCGTCGGCAAATCGAAGGTGATTGGTGTACTCGCCGTTAATGTTGATGCCCAGCCCGCTCCAGTCCAGAAACTGGAAGACATCTTCCAACGCAGCGGTAAACAGCTTTGGCGATATGACATCGCCTTGCCTGACACCTCGCTGCAGTTGGATAGGCTTCGAATTCTGGTCGTGGAGGCGAACTGATATAGTGGCGTATTCATACAAACATTTCAACGCTTCGATATATCGATAGTCAATTTGGCACCGCTGGAGAGACTAGCACAGCCCACGTCTCGATCGAATCAAAGCTTTTTCATTGTCCACAAACGCAAGCTTTTTCATAGTCCTCAAACGCCAAGTGTGATAGTAGTTACTCAGTAAAACGCTGCTGCCCGTCCACTGGTCGATGAATCCCTTAGTCGCCTTTTACGACACCCACGAGAGGGGGGGGGCTTTACGTATATTATCGAGATCTTAATGTTTACGTCGAGTTTCTATCGAGTGTCCATAGTTGTGTATTGATATAAGAGGGTCACGGCCGCTCTTTTCGCTCCACTTTTTCGTTTGATTGTAAACTTTACGGGTTTCGTATTGTTTTTTTAAATTGCTATATCCATTGCGGCTGATGCGGTATACGTGGTTTGCTGTTCCGTATCACCCCCGGCGGGGCTCAGTGCACGATTAGTATTCGTGGGTGCCTTTACTCTACCAGTTGGTTGGATTAACTTCACGCCTTTCTATTCGGTACTACGCGGGTTTTGAGCGTATGAAAATATTGTAAATTATATTTGGTTTTGTTAAATTTAATTTATATTAGGAAAATTGAAATAAAATATACAGTTGATAATGTGAGATTTTTATTAATAAATTAATTGTAGTGTCCGATTTCGATGATAAAATATATAATTAATACCGAATTAAAATTTGCAAGTGTATAGCATAATACAAAATTCTATGTGGGAGGAGTACGAGTGAGTATACTCTGTCGATTGAAAAAAAAAACGTAATCAATTATATATGATTGTACCGTGCGAGAAATCAAAATTTTTTAGTGTAAATCACCTTTGTAGAAAGTTCTTGGTCATTAGTCTCATCTATTTTAAAAGTGAAGCCGCTTGCAAGATGTCTTTCGGTTTAACGGTGAGAAAATGTAGTGAAATTATGGGATATGGATGCGTAACATATAAGTTTCGGAATAGCAACGCAGGCTTCGTATCACGGCCATCATATGATGACGTCTTGAATCCATGATGCAGTCCATGTATATGATAGAGATATTCAGTGGATTACGTATACAGTTGTAAATATAATTTATTTCGTTCCAATTGCAGTTGCACGTTACATACAAACTGTTACTTAGCAACAATACTTATTTTAAATGTGATGGATTATACTTTTTCTACTTCAATCAATGTGCCTAATACGGTCCCTTAATCCATTACATTTAAGACATTCTACATCTCTACATTTAAATAACATACATAATATAAAACAATATACAGAAGAGTAAACAATAGAACTACTAGCAAAAAACATATCCAAAATTAAATCTGTTAAAATACTAACAATATCTGTTGGACCTATACCCCATAACCTGATAGAGATATTCAGTGGATTACGTATACAGTTGTAAATATAATTTAATTCGGTCCAATTGCAGTTGCACGTTACATACAAACTGTTACTTAGCAACAATACTTATTTTAAATGTGATGGATTATACTTTTTCTACTTCAATCAATGTGCCTAATAGTATATAAGCGACGTTATCGTCTGCCATCATTTGTCTACATCCATCATCAATCCGCCTCCTCCCAGGTGCACATTTTTTTATGGATGATAATGGAATAATGCAATGCCTGCGCTAACAGTTTACGCTGGCGGGGCACCAGTGAAGGATGATAAGATGAGCATGAAGTCAAGCCAGTTCGCTGATTGTCAGTTCAGAGGCAAATGGCAATTTACCACAACGGTTTCGATGGGGAACCGCGTGGAGGTCAACCTGACATGATATATTGCTGCATTAGTTCACATTACTGACAATCCCTTTCGCCCCATGTGTGTATTAGAAGGTTTTTTTACGGTTGATAATGGAACGGTGCACCTGCCTGCGCTAATGGTTTACGCTGGCGGGTCACCAGTGGAGGATTATAAGATGAGCATGAGCAGGGGCGGATCTACCTCTTTTTGGGCTGCAGCCCAGGGCCTCGAGTACACAAAGAGCCCCAGTCCCTGCTGAAAAAAATATTTATAATGTTAAATGTTTGGTCGGTGTATTTTCTTAGTTGAGTAATATAATTAGGTAGGCCCTTAAGTACCCAGATTTAGCCAAGGGACCCACAAATTCACGATCGGCCCCTGAGCATGAGATCAGGTCAGTTCGTTAGTCGTTGCAAATTCAACAGAAATTTAACACGATGGTTTCCAGGGGAACCTCGTGGAGGTTAACCTGACATGGTACATTGCTAGCAATAGGGTTATTAATCCACATTACTAACAATCCCCTACCCTCTGTGTTAGAAGGTGCAATTAATGAAGTGGATGTTTATAAATTACAGCAAATCCAACAGCAGTACAGAGGACGAGCGGGCCCGGCGAGGTTTTGGGGCAGCATGTCGGAGGGAGGCGGGGTGTCGGCCGCGGGCGGCGACAACTGCAAGACCAACCTCATAGTCAACTACCTGCCACAGACTATGACAGAGAAGGACTTGTATGCCATGTTCATGACCATAGGACCCATAGAGAGTTGCCGAGTGATGAAAGACTTTAAGGTGGGTCAATAAAATGAACTATGAAGAAATAATTATAATCACAAATTGCAGGTTTTATATATGTATAAGGTGCTACTAAAGTGTCTGCATTATTATATATAATGATTATGATATTACCATATGTAATCATATTACCATGGTAGCATTAAATTACTTTTCAATTTTTTTGCTTCAAAATATCTTTATTCTTGTAGGTCTATAACAGACTCTTATGCTATGTCAAATCTACCGTCAGTTCGGAATAATTTCGAGATGAGAAGAACTGACAAGAGACTCAGCTCGTATTCTTCTTTTCAAATAAATGTTGTACATGTTTACAATAATACAGATTCATTTAAATTCAATTTTGGGAGAATAGAGTGACCACCAGCATATGCTATTGCAAAAGCGAAATTAAATAAATATCAGATATTCATTAATGAATTAATCTTTACTGCATGTAAATAGGTCTCTACTTGTATTTAGGTATGCTAAAGCATTTATTGATCCTTTATAATAACCTAACTGAAGTGGTAACGTTGCTGCAACCAGATAAAGAGCTGTTGTTAAAATAGAGTATTTTCATTTATTAAGGATTTTTTTGGTTTTTTAAAAACATATAAATAATATGATGATGAGATGATGATCACAAAATAACATGGATGTTAATAGATTACTATAGTATTTTATAAGTTTTGGATACATTATTTAGGCGTCTCGGATTCGAGACGTCAATTTTTGTGGAAGATATTGTTAATGTTTTCTAATACCAATGGAAGAGCTACAGAACAATTTTATTATAGTTATGTTATAATACTCAAATATAAACATTTATGTTGTAGAAACTTGAAATTATACTATTTATAACTGGAAAAATGTTTTAATGTTAAGAAGATAGACAGCGAAGTGACAAATTATATAATTTTGTTTTTATAGTTTTGATTAAAGAATACAAAAATAAACTTTAAATATATTAATATAAAAAGAGTTTCTCAACAATCTAGAAACAATTTTTTTAACCTTTTTACTTAAGGCGCATGTTTGTATGCTTACAGACTGGCTATAGCTACGGCTTTGGTTTCGTTAACTTCACGCGAGAAGAGGACGCTGTGAGGGCAATCGACACCTTCAATGGGTACCAATTAAGAAATAAAAGATTAAAGGTAAATTATAACATTATTTTATAATAGTAATAATAATCTCAGGACAATTCACACAGCGCCACTAGACCCAAGTTAAGCTCGCTAAAGTTTGTGTTATGGGTACTAGATAACTGATACAAACACATAGATATCTTTATGTTGTAAACATACGTATCATATGTAGAAAACACCCAGACCGATACAAACAATTATACACATTAATACAAATGTTTGCACCGTGCGAGGAATCGAACCGACCATCGAAAGCGGTGTGCTAAATCACTAGGTCACCGGCCGTCAATATTCAATATTCAAATAAGCACTTTTGAATAGTCATATTTTTTTTATTCTACCACTCATTCAGAACGCAGACTCATCACAATAAGAACGAACAAAAACTTGCGAGATGCTCTTTTAAATAATACATGTGTTTGATAATGTTTCCAGGTGTCATACGCCCGGCCGTCAGGGGATGACATAAAAGAAACTAATCTCTATGTGACGAATCTCCCGCGAGCTATCACCGAAGACCAGCTCGAGACGATATTCGGAAAGTACGGAAGGATAGTGCAGAAGCATATATTGAGGGATAAAAGCAACGGTACGCCGAGGGGCGTCGCTTTCGTAAGGTAATTTGTCACTACTAACTTAAATATGATTTATGCATTCAATATTTAGGCTGTTGATATACAGTCGGTCAGTTGTCAGGTGCGACTAATGTTTCTATGGAGTCCGATTGGCGCAGTTGTTTGTTACGCTTTGCCCTCTTCGGGGTTGTATCGGTAACTGATTGACTGTATATCAGCAGCCTTTGTATTTGCCAACCCTCTAATTATAATAGTAATAGTAATAATTTTATTTATATAAACAAATTGTTATGACTATTCAAAAGTGCTTAAATTAAGTTTATTTGAATAAATGATTTTCTATTCTATTCTATTGTGCAAAAAAAAACAAATACACAATGGATAAGCTTATATTTAAAATTAATTCCATATATATACAATAGTTCTTAAAACTATTATTTATACGTGAAAAATAAGTAAGTATATTGTTTTTATTTATACGTGAATTAAACATCCATGGTCGCAAATGTAATAATATTGGGAGTTTTTTATCTTCTTCTCCAGGTCAAAACGACCTAAAAGAATTTGAATAATTCTTTTTGTATTCGAAATCAGTCCATTCTTGAGATCAAAAAGAAAATTAATTTCCTTCGTAATTTAACACAGCAAAGATCATACCAACCATTCTAGAGTTATATATTGTAGCTAACATGACTTTGTTTTATTTTACTATTTTATTAATGTGTTTTATTTCGAACAGGTTTGACAAAAGAGAGGAAGCGCAAGAGGCGATAGCAGCATTAAATAATGTGATACCAGAAGGGGGCACCGAACCGCTCAGTGTGAAGGTCAGTTCTATCATACACTGTTGATTATTTAAGAGTAGTCGTGCCCGCTTTCGTATGCGCGACACTCATAGGAATTATAATAGTATGGTGCGCCTGCGCTAACGGTATACGCTGGCGGGGCACCAGTGGAGGATGATAGATGAGTATGAGGTCAGATCAGTAGCCTATTGTTCGCCACAATTCACCAGAAATTTAACACGATGGTTTCCAGGGAGAACCTAACATTGCAATGGGGTTATTGATCCACATTGCTAACAACCCCCTTCCCACCTATGCGTGGTACTTGGAATAGCAGTAATAACACTTACGCTGATATAGACTGCGGTTTCATACAATATATCAGAGAATACTGCATTCAAATATGTTAAGCCGTTTATGAAATTGGCGTGCACAAAGAGATTAATAGAGAGAAATATGAAAGAACAATCTTTTTTTTTATTACATGGAGGAAGATACAATTTGTGTGATTGTTTGGGAGAAGACTTCTCGGGAGGGGGTTCACGTCGACTGGTGCATTGTTTGCAATGGCGATAATAACTAATCTCCGTTACTAATACCCTCCCCGCCCTCACTCCCGAGACAGTAACGACTTTTTATCTATATCTTTTATCACACACACATATACAGACATATGCTGTGTCATACACACATCATACATACATACATAGTACTTACATGTGTATGATTTATCCTATCTTATTTAATAAAATATCCAATATTATTTAAAAAAAAATTGTTCTGTATTATCTACGATGTTACTCATCCCGTATAGCATGAGAGTGCTTCCACTTCCACTTCCACATTTATGACAAGCACTTTTTATACAGACACCGTAAAAGTCATAAACATATAAAATAAGAACATGTCAAAAATATCAATTACTAGCTGTACCTGCGAATTCGTCCGCGTGGAATTTAATTTATTTTTTCTAAAATAAAAGTAGCTTAAGTTGCTCCTTATTACCTGCCAAAAAAAGTCTCGTCAGAATTGGTCCAGCCATTTCAGAGATTAGCCTGAACAAACAGACAGACAGACAAAAATTGTAAAAAAAATATTTTGGTGTTCATATGTACCATATTTATATTCATATGCACGTAGTAAAAAACGGACACTCCAATTTTATTTATATCTATAGATGTATAGACATAAAAATGTCTGTCGCCAACGCTACTTATTTAAAGTAATTTTTAATCCTGTAATTTGAAATCCTAAAATATTTTTTTCTACTCCAGTAATAAAAACAATGAACACGTTAATCAGATTTTTTTTCTGACGCTATTTATAATCGACGTGTTAGCGCGCAAACTGGTTTATTCCGGTTTTAATGGCTGTAATATACCACCACAGATTCAAAAATCTCCTTAAGTTGTTTTTTTATGGATGATAATGGAATACACACGCCTGCGACTGAATATACGGTACGGTATACGCAGGCGGGAACCAGTGGAGAATGATGGACTGAACATGAGGTCAGGTCAGTTCGTCCAACGTGCAAATTCATCAGGAATTTATCACGATGGTTTCCAGGGGAGGTCAAACTGATATGAGTATATTATTGACATTAGCCCCCCCCTCTCCCTCTTAAGTTGATTTGCCTGTATTTACCTTTATGTATATTCGTGATTATCATATTAGCATTACAGGGCACGCTTAGCATGCACTATTGGCCGGGGTACGGGTCTAAATTGTTGTTTACTTTGGCAGCCTACTGGGACAGACGCGATCTACAAACGCGCTTCGATGGCTGTATGGCGCTCCAATAGCCGACTACGGTTGCACAGTGACACTATGGTGCGATATGACGTCATATCTTACTTTGATAGTGTGACCAGCCGCGTTATTATGTAACGCCGCTTTCTAACAATTCTCAATTGATTTTAAACACTATTTCTATTGTTTTAAGGTTGTTTATAATTATATACATTACACAAAGGATATATTTACTATGATAATATTTTTATGGGCTACCTATATGAAGTGCAGGTTATATATCAAAATTCAAAAGAATACAGTCTTTTATACGTATAAAGAATATTACACATTTTACTTATTTTAATAATAGAAAGAAACGAAGTGAAGGTAGACCTGTCTGCCCAAAATTTACGATCTACCCGACGAGTTGTAACACTGCCGAAATATCGGGAATTCAATAAAAATAAATAAAACGTGGTGAGGTCTCGTAATATTCTTAATTTTACGTATAAAAGACAGTATCATTTTGACTTTTGGAGCATGACGTATACTTTATATATATCATAATTTTCTTAACTATATAACTAAAAATAATGTATAAATAATCACTTCAAATTTTAAAAAGTATGTGCTTTGTCATGATTATCATGTGTTTTCTAATAGCAGATTCGTTACTAGGACGTTTGTAACAGCGTCAAAGTATTGGGAACTCATAAATAATATTATCATATTAAATATTCGTTTATATAAGGTGTTCAATTAATGACAGATAGATAGACTCTGTGCAAAGTTATCTATCACTTGTTTTTTTTCTGTTAAGCGGCTTACTTTGTAAGCTGAAGATATAGTAATGGAATTACAGAGTACGTAAACATGTTAATGACGGTCTCGGTAATTTAGCGGTTTAGCATATCGCCTTACTTCCGATAGTCGCGGGTTGAATTCCTCGCACGGTACAAATGTTTGTATTAATGAGTATGATGTATCGGTTTGGGTGTTTTCTATGCATAATATGGATGTATTTACAAAAAAAATCTATGTATTTGTATCAGATGTCTAGTACCCATAACACAAAACTCTAACTAGCTTAACCTGTGTCTAGATGACGCTGAGTGAATTGTACTAAGATTATTATTATACCTTAGTTTAAAATTGGGAATAATGAGATCTGAGCGGGTACTACCAGCGTTACGTGACGACGTAATATCCGTCGTGCTGTTCATGTTTGTAGACTACGATTGTACCACAAGGTGGTCATTCAGCTTATATGTGCTTTCAGTTACGTAAAAAATTGTTATAAAAAGTCGATAGGTTAAAAATTTTTTAAGAACCATTTGATAGTTGCAGTTACTAAGAATTGCAACTGTGAATTGGTCCGTAATTAATCGCAGAGCTGTAAATTTGAATCAGTTTTAATTGAGAATTGTTCGCAACTGCGTTACATAATTAAGCTTCGATTGTCACACAAGTTATGTTGCTGACGTTACTTTCTGTTTTGTTTCGGTTTCGATCATTGTTTCTTCTAGGCTGATTGTCGATTGGTTGCTACGTTTTTTTTTATCTCTCGTCTTTTTTTGTTGTATTTACTATAATTGATTGTGTTGTAGTTAGGTTGTCTTCATTTATTAATGTGTTTCTTTTTATTTTCATGTACAAGCTATTTATTTATGTCATGTATCGTAAAGTATGTTTATAACAATCAGTAAGCCATGTAGAATTTTATTGAAATTGATGTGATCTTATGTATGGTACTTAAGAAACAATATGAAAATCTGAATATAAGTTTAGATTTTTTCATACTAAATTGGTCACATGACAGTCTGTATGAAGGCACTGAAATTTATTTTCATTTTTCCGCTTTGATCCTTGGGGAAAGGTTTGTAGTTTCATGAACACTATCACTGGCTGTTGGCTTAATATACAGGTGAAAATAAAATAAGCTATTATTTTGTTAACATTTAGACTTTTTTTTTTGCGAACTATACTAATGCTGTTTGACGCGGCTGGCCTTTACAGCGAATGATATAGGTGCAAGCGCAGGTGACACTCCAAACAGAGGAAGGTCTTACGGAGCGGCTGAAGGCTAACTTCTGCCTGACGGACTTCAGTCAGATGTCACTGTTGGGTTCTAATCTCAGCTCAGGCCGTCGCGATTTGTATCCCCGTTTGACCAATTCAAACGGGGATAGAAATTGGATCGATAGGGTTATAGGGGTTAGGGATAGGGATCATTTGAGTATGCATAATAAAGTTGCAGTACAATAAAATTAGCCCGTAAAACAATACGAATGATATTTAGTAAATTTAACTTACTGAAAAAACATGGTTAACGTTTGAAGGGTGTCGCTAGTGAAGCAATTTGAAAGTTTAAAACATTGTATTTCCAATGTCGATCGATCGTAATTGTTAAGAGTAGCTGCTGAAGATACTTTTAAATATTCTTGTTCAATATTTAAAATTCTAGTTATTAATTCTGTTGCTACATTATTAGTAAATAACGTCATTCTAAATCCAAGATGGCGGAACGTGCGTAATGGCGGACTAGTTACATTTATGTACATGGTTATTAAATGTAAGGATTTGCTGAGAATACCAATACTGAAATGACTGTACTAGCAAGTAACAACTATTATGGCAGATTTAAAAGCTTGTTTATTGAAATATTTATAGTTTTTACTATTCATTCATTACAATGTATGTAGTCTAATGCTAGAACGTTCGATAATTATAGGTGGCCGAGGAGCACGGCAAACAGAAGGCAGCTTACTACGCGGGCTGGGCGGCGGGATTCCAACATAATCGAGGTAATACTTTATTAATTATATATTCAATTTGGTAAGTAAAAAAAATTATATGGGTACTAAAAAATTAGAACCATATCTACTTTAATATTTCACTAATACCTTTTTAAAATTAGATATTTTTTTCTGATAATAATTCACCACTAATCAAAGACGGAATGATGAGAAAGTAAGCTGTCTATGATGGGTTCTTGAACGTAATTTACGTATTATGAAAAAAAGCAGTGCATCGCAAATAAAAAATATAATTGCACATATGTTGCTAGACATGTTCTTATTTTAAATTTTCAAATGTGTGAACATCTAAATTTAAATGTCTTTTTATTTTTATTAATGACAACTGGTCTATAATGCTAATGTTATTGTATGTATTTCTTTTTATTAAAAAATATGTTATGATATTTTAAAATATGCCACATAGGTTGGTAAAGGTTTGTGCACTATACAGCCTTCGGTAATTTGAAAATAAAATTTTTTAAAGTGCAAATAACATAAGCTAATCCAAAGACAAATTGTGCACGCTGCCATGGATCAGCCTCTGTACCGCACGTACCGCAGCGCCACCACAGCCTCGACCAGCTCGACATGCTGCATAGACAAGACTACCCGACCAACTACGGGTTGTACGGTAACACCTCGAATCGGTTCCTCCGACGCGATTTCTACAACCAGTCGTCTTATATGAGTCACCATCGTCCGTTTTGAAAAGGGCTCTATTGTAAAAAGTTCCGTTTATCCGATACTAGGATATAAACGGACATGGACTTTTGTTTTTGGTAGTGTAATGTATATTGGTATAGTGTAAGACTAGGTATTGTGGAGTTTTTTTGTAATATTAATATATTTCTTTAATTGAGTCATAGACACAAAATTCCTTAACATGTGTTTTTAATTTTGATGTCAGTTACACAGTAAAAGTACCTTTATAGTTTACTTTTTAGGGGATATAGTCTCAGACATAGCGCTAGAAAGAGGAATATATGTTTATTGCAATTATATTGTTTATATTGGCAATATTAATATTATAAAGACTCCACAATACTGTAAAATTTACCTACTTTGCGCTTAGTTACCCTGTCCACTGTTACTCTCCAATGCTTCTTCTGTATGTTAAGAATATTCTAGAAAAGAGGCGAACGCGTGATGGAAAGCGAAAGCACCTTGTTACCAGTTTTGTGGACAATTTTTGTCATTAAAAATAATATACCTTCTTACACTGTGTTTATTATTTATTGAAGAGCTAAGAGAATAGGATACTTCCTTAGCTAGATTATAAAAATATTAATATTTGACAACTAAATTATATATTTTTTCCTATATTTCATAGTACCAAGAAGTGTAATACGAACAAAAAATGTTCACAAAAATAGTTGATAAATGTTTTGACTGAGGCGGAATATTTAATATGTAAAATTTAAAAATGGAATACTAAAATTTAAATTTAAAGGAAAATAAATTATTTTGTGCTGGGATAAAACAGGTTTCTTTCATTATAAGGACTATAAAGGGCTGAACTTGTGTTATTTATAACAATTTTAATGATATTTTAATATAAATCTTTAGCCCAGCACGAAATTTGAATATTAATATAAAGACTTAAGGGACCCGATGTCTCAGCACAAAGCCCAGTATAGTTGACTCGAAAAATCTAGACTTTTATTAGAGATCCGGTAGTCTTTGCATTCACCATAACTGTTAATATAGTATACATATATAGTGATCTAATAATAAAGTGTACAGACGCAAATTCTTATTATTTCGCTAACTGATTTTAGACAACGATTTTTCTGTTTAATGTTTTGTTTCATAATTTTAATTAATTATCCAAAATTTATAATAAATTATAAATTAATGAAATTCAAGTTTAGGCAATGTAAATTATGTATTATATTTTTTATGATCTGAATATTCTTTATAGGTTTACCAAATATGAAGATTCAAGAATGCAATGGTGAAATTAATATGTGGCTTGTTTTTTTAAATGTTATTTTTAATTACGAGTGTAATAGTTTTTGGAATATTCATCTGAATGCTAAATATAATAGCAAATTACTATATTGTCAATTGTCAATAGATTATTCAAAATAAAAAAAATAAGAGATTTGTAGACATGTTAAATATTTCAGTTTCCAGTAATATATAATGATATTTTTATGTACAAATTGAATATAGGACCCAACTTTTTAACATTTGTTTACCTTACCTTCGAATATATGCAGCAATGGTGTAAAATAAATTAATAATTTTAATTTGAACTGTAGACCGCTGCATCGCGTTGCGTTTGTGTATATAATATTCGAGTAAAGAAAAATATAAAATAAAAAAAAACGTAAGTGAAAATTGTTGTCTAGAATCGATGACTTTATAAACAATATAATAATAACATAAGTTGTGCTCATGTCAATTCAATTTATTAATTTTAAAACGACACGATATGAACACGCAAGTTTACAAAGTTGCGTTTGTAAATTTCGCCTTTTTGTGGTTTTATATGTTTATCTATTTTTATATTTCACTTAATATCTTAAATAAATAAAATAAAGATTTGCTAATGTATTAGAAATTTTTGATACTGTATAATTTATATGTACCTATAATACATAAAAAAATATTACATATACATTATTGATGTATGTATGTAATAGTTAAATCTGAATAAAAAGTATTTAATTTTTTGCATAACAATTGGATTTCATTAATATTTAATATTTTTTTTACTTATTTTTCAAATAATTTAAAAGAGTATATTATATTGTCATTATAAATTTGCGTGTTCAAACGTGTCCAGATATCGGCTTATGAACATATAACGTGCTCAATATATTATAAATTGGTCTGTTAAACGGCGTATTATAGTTAGCTATTTATATATGGTAGTGGATACGGTGTAAAGAATAAATACATTCATATGTTATTTGAAAATGACGTTTATATGTTTGACTAGCTGTTCCCCGCGACTTCGTCCGCTTAGAATTTGACATTTATTTTCTAAAATAAAAGTAGACTAAGTTACTCCTTATTACATCAGCTACCTGCCAATAAAAATCCCATCAAAATCGTTACAGTCATTTCAGAGATTACCAAAGATAAGATACCGTTTCAAACTGACAAAAAAAGTAAAAAAATATTTTGGTGTGCTACATATTTATATTCATATGCATGTCGTAAAAAACTTTAATTTCAATATTACAAACAGCCATTCCAATTTTATTTATATGTATATATAATAAGGACATTAGGCTATTTAATGAGAGAACTAAACACTTGTATATTTATGTTTTAATTTAATACTTGGAAATCAGTATGCGTACGCTCTCTAACTCTGCAGAAAGCGAAGTGAGGGTTTTACCTTCATCTGTAGGTAAGCTAAATGGCAATTATTTACATGTATTGCCCTAATGTAGATTCATAAATCAAGGTTACCAATAAATATTTAGTTTTGGCTAATATCCTTTTTTATGGATACTGTAGGACACAATATTGGTTTTATTTTCTAAATTCTTTGTGTAATATACTATCGACTTATGTTATTTTATGATATCATAAATAACATGAAGATAAGAAAGAAATCTAAATTGAGGTATATATATTACCACCACATCAAGATTTAGTCAACCCCTGTGCGATTTATAAACCTATATATTATGTAACATATAAACATTTGCATTATCAAATAACAGATAAGGTTATGCATTCTTTAAGCCGTATCTTAGACCTATATATATTCGTTGCATATATAATTATGTATGTTAGTCATGAAGAAATCGTTTTATAGTGACAGTAGTGACCGGTAATGTAAGTTTCCATATTTCTGTATATATATTATATATATATATTATTTTGTATCCTAAAATACTTTTTCTGGGACCTGATGAATATATATACCTATAGCTTTTAATTACACATGATCTTTGCCTGTGTTAATGTCGCCCTAAAAATATTGTTTTTTTTCTATGAATGTTAAACTATACCTATGTATATATACTATATATTCGAATTGTTGTAAAATAGTTGATTTGAATATATTGGTGTTAGTTTCTTAACTTACAAGACTCGAAGCATATCGAATACGTACGAATTAATTTAATTGATATAAATAATAATTTGTTCTGTTCTTACAATTTAATGACTTATTTGTATAAATTATTGAGTATATTTTCGTTTAACATTTTTAATTTTAGTAACAAAATTTAGAAAGAGTGTGTAACTTTGAAATTACTGGCACACTTCTTAATATTTATTAATTAGCAATTAGCCTGAGATTCATTTCATAAAATAATCTGAGCAGTATGAGAATGTAAAACCCGCTCGGTCCATAACGTGATAAAAAGAAGAAACTTTAAGGTTGGTAATTGATAGATTTATTAACGGAAAACATCAAAATACAAAATGTTAGTATAATGCATAGCCTCATATTGAGTTCGTTAATGAAACGTAAAATGTCTATGGTTAGAGGTTATATAAATGCAGTTTTAGACATTGTTAAGTTGCTAGCACGCATTCACTATGATTCGAGTCGTCACAGTGACAATATACCGCGGTGATTCGAATGTTTAGTAGTTGTTACGGAGTTTACGAGTGTTATTTATTCCCATAACTGTCCATTACGTCACTTAACTTCTTGTAATGATGGATATCAGGATATATATTTATTGTACTTCTTAATACTGATGGGGCATTAGTGGAAGATGATGAGACGAGGATGTCGTCAGGTCAGTATACCTGACTAATCTAACAGGAATTAACTGCGATGTCTTCTAGGGGAGATGGTTCAACCTGATGTTACCACGTTAGGTTGACCTGTCGCTAGCAATAGGACCTTCCAGTCTCCTTTAGTAACAACCCCATTACACCGTATGAGTATATAAAACTAAACTTGTTTATATAATAAAAAAGAAAGAAAAGAAAAAAAGTATCCTTTTAATGTTTTATTACGGTTATATACAATTAATTATATCAGGGATTAACATGACGGTTAGAATGTGTTTGAAAAAGATAAAGAAGGCAGATCTGTACACCCAGATATTTCTCGTAAGAACAATACATCAAAATTCTTATTTTTGATATAATTATTATTCGTATATAATAATATAGTCTGATTCTATACAACATCAAACGTCAACTTGGTAATTCTGGCAAGAAGAATGGGCAAGAAATTTTGCTGTTTCTTGTCAACCAAATGTTATGTAATTTAGTAGGAGATTATAAAAAAATATACGTAATTGCTCCTCTTTTTATGTTAATACCTGATATCCATCATAATTCTTTACCCTTCTTAGGTTAGTGTATAACTAAAGTTATTAAAATACTGTATTTTAACTATTCGAAGTGTAGAGACTTTAAGTGTTAATCGTATGATTCGGTGGGGATACCCATATATACAATACTCCGAATATAATGCTGTTATAGATTATAAAAAAAAATGTATTACCTAACATTTGACACGCAAAGCACGTATATTTTAATTAATGAAATAATGCAATTATTACATTCAGCATGATTAGATAATATATTACTTTAGTATTATCATTAAATAGTTCTTATGTTATTGTAAATTACGTTAATATTAATTGTTAAGTAAATTGTACGTTGTCAATAGTTGCCTTTACACAAGACGTTCTGTCACGCGCGAAATAGCGCGGGAAAACCAGCGCGCCATATTGAGTATTTTATGTTCTATCGCGCTTGATAGCTCGTATGACACCTGTCACTTTACTTTCTTTTAAATTAATATATTTTATTTATAAAGGAGACATTTAAGTTTATAAATTATCAATAACTCTGCAATTATGTTTTTAACCCATAGTCAGATGGCCGCCATTTTGCAACGCAAAAAAGCCACGCACTGTTGGAGCACGCGGAAATGGCGCGAGCGGCGGTCTATGTCGTTCTCTTTGTGTATATATAAACATGCACATGCACGTTCTTTTCTGCATGAAATCATATTTGCTACGTATTCGCTATTCGCTATTGCTGCGTAAAAAAGCGTACTTGTAAAGGCAGCAAATATATGTTTTGTGATTATCTTCGCTCTGTATGGTTTCTTTTAATGCCAACTCCTTCATATAAAATATTTTAATAATATATTGTTTAATTAAGTGAATTATAAAAACAGCTATTATTATGATATGGATATCTCTACTGAAAATGGAATGTAGGTCTAGAAAGCTAGAACTAGTTTCCAAATGTGAATTGTGCCTAATAATGTGTAAAATCTAAGTAACTATTGGGAATTACTGATTGGGAGGTTTAAAAGGAATATATAAAAGCAATATAAAGTGCACGCATAACGAGATGAGATCTGAAAAAAGAAAAATGTATTTTTGTTTTAATTTCTATTTCTATTTGACGTTGATAAACCGTCAATATTTTTGTTCTAGTTTATTCTATAATTTCTAATTTACGTAAATAAAAATTCAGCACGCTCTAGTGTTCTTTCCTTTTTTTATTTTCGAGTACTATAATTATCATGTGTAATTGCGTTAAAATAATATATTATAAAAAAAAGAGAGACGGTCAACTTGGCATGTAGAGACGATCGACTTGGCTTCTATAGACGATCGACTTGGCTTTTATAGCTTATTATGATTATTGTCATTTCACGTAAGATAGGTTATATTAATAATGTTATACTTTCCCATGTAATTTTAAGTGACTATTAATGCTTATATATTTTTAAGGTTTTAGATTTTAAACGGTCTTATGATATTCAAGTGTTTTGTTGTATTGATAATTTTATTATTACTTATTGTAATTCTGTATACAGGTGCAAATTATTGTAGTAGAGAAATGTTTACCCGCGGAAGGACTCATGGAGCGACTGAAGGTTAACTTCGGCTGTCCGATACGACTTTAGTCTGAGGGCACCGCTAGGGGTTCGAACCTCGGCTCAGGCCGTCGTAATTTCGATTCCAGTTTGAATTGAACGGGGATCCATCGATGGGATGCTGTACGGTGACATTACCGAAAACTATGTTTAAGCAAATAAATTGTCTAGCCATCATATGTTACATCAAAATCAATACAGACCTTATTATCACCGATTACAGTTCAATTTAAAATAACATTACTAATTATATCTTATATATAATATTCTCCTGTCACAATGTTAGTTACCATACTCCTTCCAAACGGCTGGATCGATTTTTATGAAATTTTATATGCATATTCAGTAGATCTGAGAATCGACTACTATCTATTTTTCATACCCCTAAGTAGTAAGGGATATCCACCCCTAAATATATATTATTTCGACATAATATTTTATTTTCATTTTATTATTATTTAGGATTGAAAAATATATACAACCCTAAATTTTCACCCTTCTAGCATCAACCCCTATTTTTTAATAGCGATTTAAATTTATATGGCAAAACAACATTTGCCGGGTCAGCTAGATTAAATATAAAATTACTGCATTATTTACACTTGTATACAGATAAATGTGTCTATTATCTAAATATTTTACATGTTTGTGGTTTACATATATATGTTAGTTTATATAGTTTATATTTTAAGATGCTAAATTCAATTATAAAGAAAAAAAGAACAAACAATGTAACAGCACTCGCTAATAAAATATTTTTATATGTAATTTCAATGGAACAAAATGCCGATGGTTATCCTGATGGTAAGCAGCAGTCGTGTATACATGAACAGCATCAGGGATGTCCTGTCATGTGATATAGTGGCCCGCATGTGTATTCCATAGGAGTTAGGTGACATGCCTCCGTATCTCGTAGCCCGATTTGGTAATAAAAAAATGTAATGATAGTTAATATTAAAGTTGTCTCGTTGAAATGGGTTGTCTGCATGACGTTACGTTAATTATTAGTGTTTAATTTTAATATGTGCCACGCATAATAATAAAATGAATTAACTGAAAAAAAAAAAAAAAATTTGGAAAATACGACTTTAAAGTTAAAAATCATTAAAGTAGAAGTTTCAAAAAAATAATCATTGTTACGCATGCGTTGTGTTATTTTTTTTATATATAACTAGCGATCCATCCCGGCTTCGCACGGATGCTTTATATCTTTGAATTTCTCTTCTCTAACTTGTTCTATACTATAACATTCATGAGTTAAAAAATTAATAACCGGCTATAAAGTTTTCGGTATCAGTAGAATTTCCAATTATTAACGAGTTAATGCGTTTTATTATTAAGCGTATTTTTTATATTTGTGTGTATTATATTTAATCTACATTATTTATTTTATTAACCGAGTCTTGACACGAATAATTTATGGCAAATAGAAGTATTTACCTCTCGACGTTTCGTGTCAAGACCCGGTTAATAATATAAATAATGTATATGAATATATATTAAATTATAGTTTAAAAATAACTATATTTAATCTGTTTGTACTCCTATCTTTAAATGTATTCACTAATGTAATATTCATTTGCGAACTGTAACATTACTCAGGAATGAATTCTCCGTAATATAAATATTAATAATTATTATATAATTTGATTTTACTGTTTTTTTTTGTTAATAGTAAATTATTTTTTGAATTGTTAGAAGATATGACGTATGAATTAGAAAGAGTAAGAATATTTGATCTCTTTTTTTAATTATATAAAATATATATGACATTATACTATGGAGCTCTGTATTAGCTATTGTTTGCTTTTTCCAGGTGTTATTTTATGTCGTAGAAATGATAAAGAAAATATTTACAAATGATACAATCACAAACGAATGTTCGTTTAAATAATGATTAAATTTTAATAATAATTTAATTCTAATCTGTTATTACAAGATTGTTGTACCTAGTTGATTGTTGTGTTGTAAAATTATGAATGGTCGAACGAAATCGAAAAGGTATTCTTCCAAATTCTGGCCAAAAGGATATAGTGATGTATAAATAAATAAATATTATTCATTATATACGGATTTTATTGTAAACATTAAAGCATGTAGTTTGAGGTTTATTAGAGATTCTTTTATGTCTTATTTGAAGTTTTTAACAGGAAAAAAATTAATATTGTTTATATGAAAGTTTGCGAGAATAATATGCATGATTGTTATTTTTTAACGATAGAACTACCAGATAGATATATAGATAGGATGAAATTTGGTACACAGATACATAGATTATATCCTAGATTAATATTATAGCCGCGACTTTGTCTCCTTTTTTTTAGATGAAAGATAACTTAAATTCGTCCTCGTGATACAATGTATCCGATTCGTTCAGTTTATGATATTAGAACACTATTAGAGCTTTGAAAAACAAAATGCATCACTGTACTCAATTTCCTAACGAGTATACCATCAAGATATTATTCTTTTCTTTTAATGTTATTTTATAAAATAATCGTAACAAAAAAAATTTTTTTTTTCAGATTTCTGAATTTTGAACTTTATTGTTTTAGTTGATAATTTAATATTATATTAAAAAATATTTCAATTCAATTAATTCTACACATTTTCTTTAATTTTTGTTGTCATTAATTTAAATTATCTTAAACATATAGAAATGTTTATTAAAATATTATACTTTATTTTGTTTATGTTTTTCTTAAGTTTTTTTTTTCGTTATTAATTTAATGAAACCCTCATCAGGTGACTACCAATGGAATTGCGGTAGTTGTATGGTACCAGACTCGTGGGATGGATTCGTACCGCAACCTCCAGGAGGCAGTCTGCCGGGGACCCCTCGAAACGGCTGCAGGCCAGGCGCGTGCGCCAACAGAGGCGGCTACCAGAACTACATGTCGGGTAAAGGTCCAGGGAGGTCAGGTAGAGGTGGTCGGAATCCACCCTGGGCGCCCGGGTTTGAAGAGCGGTTTAAAGGTCAAAGGTGCAGGAATGGACCAGCCACGCCTTACTGGTAATGGTAGGATAAAACTATAAGGGTAAACAGTTTCTCAATGTATAATTGTGATATTTTAATGATATGATGATGTGTGATTTTGTATGTTAGGTTTTAAAAACTTAATTTATGATGTAACTTGACGACTGAAACCTAGATGGGAGAGTCAGTGATATTGTCAATTGTTGAACTTGTGGTGAAAACACTTGGTATGTTCGATAAGTGTGTTTGAGTACCTCAGCTGTCGAATTAACTTGGTTTGTTAATGGTGTTTTCATCACCGCAATCAGTCAGAAATATAAATTGGCATAATAAGATTTTTTGGTGTCGACCAGATTAGAACTTCCGACCATTTGGGTAGTATAAGTCGGGGCTATAAACTACTAGGCTACGACGCCCTACGCCTAATAATATTCTGGTATACCCATAAATACAGGAGTTTGTAGAAATAAAAGCTAATGTTATTTATATTATTTACCGGGTCTTAATAATTTTATGGCAAATAAAGGTATTTACCTTTCTCGATGTTTCGACTAGGATGCACTAGCTGTGGTCATATGGTTTTACATATGCAATCTGTTTCGAGAATTGGAAACAAAGGTGTTATTAAACTAATAAATAAAATACACTATCTTTGTAATGATGTAACTTTAAAGTGTAAATTAGCAAATTAAGAAAAAAGTATTATTTTTCGGTAATGCATTATGTGTGGTATAAATTTTATTTATTTATTATATTTTAACTAGTTTGGTGTTATTTTACAGGGATTTATGTTGATGAATGATGGTAATATATTAATAGTTTTTTTTAATTTAAATTTTATGTTTATTTCTCATTATATTAATAGATTTTCGATAGATTATGTAAATTGATAGACATCAGTCGCGGTCGATACGCGGAAAATAGAAAAATATTATGACACCCTCGGTGGTCTAGCGGTTTAGCACATCACCTTACTTCCGATGGTTGCGGGTTCGGTTCCTTGCACGTGCAAACATTTGTATTCATCGGTATGATTATTTATATTAATTTAGATGTTTTATTATGTATATATTGTTGTTGTACAAAAATAATGTATTTAGGTATTTCTATCAATTGTCTAGTAACACAAGCTCTGCTTAGCTTAGGACTAGATGGCGCTGTGTGGATTGTTCAGGGTTTATTATTTCGAATTTATAGCCCCGTATTCATAGGTCATTGTGGCTTAATGTAATATTATGAGCACGAGTTTTATACAGCATTTGTAATAATGGGTATACCAGTTCGAAACCCAGTGATATCGATCCAAGGTACAGGACTGCCTTTCCGGTCATAACCGGTTAGAATTTAGAAATATCTAGAAAATCGTACTGCCGCCAAAGATTTTTATCTTTAATAGAGCGTTGATTAGCAAAATGGAGGGATTTATTATGTCAGCATATAGGCGTATATAATAATGAAGAATAAGTTACGAAATATTTTCGTACTAGTTGCGTGTGAAAACAGGTTTTTTTTCTTTTTTTTTTGTAATTAAATGAAAAGGCACGCTGGTTTTATTTAAAACCGTTTTTTTGTTTGCATTTGTTCATGTAAATAAGATATTTGTGTTATATACTTTGCGTTTTAATGTATGCGTGCCTTTATATTTTTTTTATTTTAGTTTTAATTTCTTGTTGTCCCCTGTTAGTTCTTTACTTGTATATTCTATGTATTGTCTTTTTATGCTACAGATCCCTAATTTAAAATATAATTCAAAATTGTTTATTTTATGAATTCGAGATTGTTTGCAGTTTATTTATATTTTTTTTTCAGCAAATAAATAAAATGCAAATTGTTTTTTTTCATATTTGTGATATATAGGTTTAGTCGTAAAGGGTATATGTATAAAGCCAAAAGACTGTGGTAGTATTAATGTCACTGAAAAACTTTCCCAACGATGAAATGTGATGTGAAATTAAAAAAAAAATGAAATGAAAATCGTGGTCACGTGATTAAATTTGTATGAAAAGTTCGGAATTTGTATTACGAATTTTCACTTTGTCTTAATGGAAAAGGTTCCGTATATATACCGGGTGTAAGGAACAGGTTGGCAAAAACTAAAACACTAAACCAGTGGAAATTCTTACCGGAATTTTTTAAATTTTTTTTTCGTTTTAAAAATCATGTGAACTATGATATTATGTAATAATATAAAGAAATAATAATATTTCATAGCGAAATAATATAAAATACCATAAAACATCACTGTAATTCGATTTAAAATCCTTCCCCGCGCTGATCAGTTCAGAACTGACGTGTCACCGCGATACTTCTCGTTGTAAAATCACATTGCGCGCAATACATAGCGCAGCGTCAAAACTAAGAATAATTATTTATATGGCTCTGGTGCATTTCCAGTGGGGAAATACTATGCCGTCTGATTCAGACCATTCTTCTGAATCAGCTGTTTTAGTTTTGGCCAACCTGTCCCTTACACCCTATATATACGAAGCCGAAAGATTGTGGTAGTATTACTGTCACTGAACAATAGTCCCAAAGAAGAAAGGTGGAAATAAGAAAATACATCAAACGCGCGGTCATGTGATAAATTTTGTATGAAAAGTTCAGTACTGTTATTTCGAATATTCAAGTTTAATTAATTTTATTGACATATGTAATAGTAGTGATATATATCTTGTAACTCAAAGCATGCTGCGGTTACCTATAATTATGAGAACAGTTAGTAGTTAAGACCATTAGAATTGTATAGAATGATGACAATTTTTTTATTGCTGTATCTTATGTTGGTAATCCTTAAAATAAATAAATATCCACTTTATCTCTTAGTGGAAAAGGTTCAGTTTGCAAGTGTTCTAGTTAGCTTTTGACTCTGTATACCATTTACGACTGGCGCCGTATTAAATATAATGAGGGACTGTACTAGAAACTCACAAGCATTTATGTATATTTTTCACTATCTGTTGTAATAAGTTTGTTTTTAAGTTTCCTGTATTTTAATATTACAGATATAACAATAGTATTTTGAATTTTATTTCGCACTAGTAATATCTTGCGGCACAGCTTGCATTAAAGCCGTAAAGGCTCAAATTAAAAAAAATCTAAATTCAAAATATTTTTATTCATGTAGGTCCATTACAGACTCCTATGATATGGAAAATCTACCGTCAGTTCGGAAGGATTTCAAGATGAAAAGAACTGACAAGAAACTCAGCTCCTATTCTTTTCACATAAATGCGGTACATGTTTACAATAATACAGATTTATTTTTAAATTAAAATTTGGGAGAATAGAATGACCACCAGCATATGAAATTGCAAAAGCAAATAGTCTAATCAGTGTTCGTAACCCGAACAGACCAGTACCCACAAGCCCACTGAAAATGCTCATTACAAGTGAAAGAATTTATAAAAATTAATAGAAGATATTTTTATTTGACGGGCTCGGTGGTCCAGCGGTTTAGCACGCCGCCTTAATTCCGATAGTCGCAAGTTCGATTCCTCGCAATGGCACAAACATTTGTATTCGTGAGTTTGTATCGGTCTGGGTGTTTTCTATGTATAATATGTATGTACTTAAAAATCTATGTATCAGTTATCTAGTACCCATAACACAAGTTAATCTTCATCTAGCTTAACTTGGGTCTAAATAGCGCTCTGTGAATTGTACTGGGATTATTATTATTATTTTATAACCGAGGTAGACTTGAACAAAATCTACCCCTAATTAAATAATATAGGGGTTTGCTACTGTACTAGTAAGGAACAATTTACCATCAGGTATGTCTACTTTTATTTGTTAGTAGGATTATAACAAGGTTTAAAAATCAAATTATAAATAATGTGTGATGCGGCGTTATACCTAGGGTCATTCATTGCATTTTTCGCTTACTGTTATCGTAAAGAATCCACTTTTCGTCACTTGTCACAATTCGATCCAATATCCCTTCATTTCTATACCGATACCACAAAGCAACACAAGTTTTAACACGCATTTCTTGCTGCATGTCAGTCAAATCATGAGGCACCCATATTAATTTTTTTTTATCTTATTGATTGATGCAAACGGGTCGCTAGTATAAAAATAAAATACTTTTTTATCGTATACTTTTATTGTCATCAAAAGATATATTACCAAAACATATTCAGTCTATAAATAATAATAGTTGCCATTATAAAAATATATTTTATATTCAAAATTGTACACCACATGTAAAATATCCTGTATCTTATATAATCTACATAATGATTTTTTAAAAGGTACCTAGTTAAGTACAAAATTATGACTATTTTTACAAACGTATCTCCGATACCTATGCTATATACAACGTGTGTTAGAATTAACGCAATTCCTTATAAATCCAATTAGAAAATTTAGTTTTATTTGATTAATTAATAAACATTTTTAATGTGTCAAAGGAAGACAATGTAATAATTTTGTACTTCTGCACTTCACACAGAGCCATCTAGTCCCCGACTAAGTAAAGTGACAATTTTGTAAATCTATACAAATAAACAAAATTGAAGTGTTTGTAATTACGAAATAACAGCTCTTCAGTAAATGCATAAGAAAGTATATACGGTATATACTTATATCAAATAATAAAAAAAAATCTTGTCTGTCTATCTCTCTATTTGTTCTAGATAATCTCAGAAATGTCTGGACCGATTTAGACGCGACTCTCATATGTAGAAAGCTAGCCTTATTGGAAGTAACTTAAAGTAGCCTACTTTTGTTTTAGAAATTTTATTTAATAATTAAAAAAAAAGTTAAATTCCACGCGAAGTCGCGTTGAACAACTAGTACGTGATATATAGAAAAATATCCCAGACAAATAGACAAATGCTAAGATTGCGGTACTTCAGTTACACGTTGTCGAAATTACAAGGAGGATATCTTAAAACATATTCTTATATAAATCGTCATGAAAATGGCTAAACTTAGAGTAGAAGAGTATGATAATCTGTTTATAGGCAAAACTTTTATAATTATTGCCCCAACCTTCCTCCGTCGGGCAATGAGGCAATAGGAAGGCAAGAAATCGCAGCAATAAGCACTGTTTAATATCTATTTTCAATATAAACAAGTAAATCTTTGCTTAATGTTTAATTAATATGATAACTTATTTGTACTGACTATACTTATACCGGATGACTTTGTTTATCTAGCGTAAAAATGTATGACACGAAGAAAATAAATTACTTCTTAATATCAACAGAAGCACGAAGATTTCGTACTAAAAAAATGAAATCGAAGCGATTGATATAAATCGTTTATTTTTTTTCTTCGTGTTTTGTTTAATTATGTATAATTTATTTATTTAAAGCCTTAGTCCCCAAAGTGGTCTAAAGACCAATAGGAGTTATAACGTTTAAAAGAAGCATATTTCATTATTTCAATAGTTCTTAGTAAAAAATATATTTGCAACTATAAAAAAAAAATGTTTTCGTATTTGTTTGTATAGGTATAAAACTAAAAAAAGTTCCAATCTCCTACGACAACAATACCCTCGTTACGCGGAAAACGAAGTCACTTGATATAGGTACAGGTACAATCCTACGAACTACATTAAACTATTCACGTAGTATAAACAAAATGGCTGCTACAACAAGATGGCGGTTAAATTCAGTTAAACATCATATATTTGCTGCTTCAACCAGGGCAGGAATTTCGCTAAATCGGTAAATACTATATAGTGTTTAGGATCACATCGGCGTTCGTTGTTCCTTGCTACTGATAAGGAGACGAGTCCTCTAAGGAACCAAATGTCGTTGTATTTGAAGACCATGCCGCCACCGCTGTCACCATTACACACCGTTGCACCTGTGAATAAATCAATGTTTTAATATACCTGCTTTAGTACACCCCCCTCCGCTTGATCCTATTCAAACGGGGTTTGAAAGTACGATGGCCTGAGCCGAGGTTCGAACCCCTAGAGGTGTCCTCAGACTAAAGTCGTATCCGTCAGGCAGGAGTTGGCCTTCAGCCGCTCCATAAGTCCTTCCGCGGGTTTGAAGTGCCATCTACACTCGCCCCCTATTGTCCGGTGAAGCTGTAAAGGCCAGCTGCGGTCAACAGCATTAGAGTAGTCCGAAAAAAAAACTTTAGATACAATATACTTTTATTTGCATTATACTGTAAAAGATAAAGTTATCAGGGGTTATCAGTGGGTAACTAAAAAGTCGTACCTCAGATTACCTATTTCAGCCGCCAAGCAGCTTGCTTTGTAAGGTTCTAGGGTCCAGAAGACCTCTAGTAGGGTAAATAACTGTGATAGAGGTACTTTTTTTTAATGGTTGATAATGGAATGGTGCACCCGCCTGCGCTAATGGTTTACGCTGGGTACCAGTGAAAGATGATAAGATGAGCATGATGAGGTCAGGTCAGTCCATCCTGGTAAATTCACCAGGAATTTATTACGATAGTTTCCCACGCAGGCGACTTTCTACAAAGTCTCAAAAGTCATGACGATGAGTGGTGAGATAGCGTTCCGAATGAGCGGTCGATTAAAAAATGTGTGATGACTATTCAAAAGTGCTTAAATTAAGTTTATTTGAATAGCTTTCAAAGCTTCTGGAATGAAACTTATACAACTTACCATTCCTATATCCAGCGCAGTAAGAATACTCTGATAGATAGCGTGAGAAGAATTCGCTGTACGATTTGATGCAAGTGAGTTCATCTACCACAGGCATTTCTACTAGAGTCAGCTCCTCTGCGGCTAGCCCCGTCTCATCGAAGCCCCAGCCTACTACCTGTAAATTATAAATACAATGTTATAAATAGAAAAAAAAATATTGTTTGTAATAACTAGATAAAAATGCAAATAGGTTTTCTCTCTCTCTCTTATATTTACTTACATATAAATATAAATACATAGGTATATTAATGAAAAACTCAGAAAGTAGTAAACAGAAGAAAAACCTAAAATAGTCCTCCTTATTAAGGTCAAAAATCTCATATTCACAAATTTGAGATTTTCGAGGATCCTCGTACGGTTGACATCCCGCCATCAGGTGGATTACAACCAATTTTTTTTTCTTGTTGTGAAGTCTTGTACTTTATTTTTTGTGAAATTTACAAGATACAAATTTTAATGGATACCTTACACATTATGTTTACAATTGTTATCACTTGTACATAGTTTATATATGTGTATGTATAGGTATATAGTTGATTTAATTACTGGTTGCTGGTTTACAGCATGCGTAAATTTATCTATTTTGTTTATGACATTTATATAAATAAACATGTAATAAATATTTTAATAATAAACAATGTGCATGTGCCCATGCACGTGTTCATCAGTATTAGCTGATCAGCGCAATTTTGTTTGTGCCACATTTTCCCATTTTTTCCAACATTTTTCATTGCTACTCCACATCTGTAGGTCGTAGCGTGATATAGTCTTCTTCGATAAATGACCTATTAAAAAGTAAGAGAATTTTCAAAATTGGATCAGTATTATATATATACAAACTCACAAATTTAAAATATTTTCTTCTTAATATGTAAAAAATAAAAAAATTGTATCATGTTGTTTGTCCATGATGGAATCCTAAAATGCTGAACCGATTTTGAAGAAATTTCTTAATATATAAAAATTTCGGGTCACGTTGTTTGTCCGTATGGTAATTGGGGGATTGGACTCGGTAGGTCTGATTTGGTTGGAAGAAGCACTCCTGGTGGTTACTATCCTGGAGGAATCGATAAAGAAGATGCAGAATAATAGATATATACTCACCGATCCCTTCTTGCCGACGACGTTGTTGATGTCGACCAGGTCGTCGGGCCAGAGGCAGGCGGGCCGGACCCAGTCCGAGTATGTGACCGGGTCCCGCAGCACCAGGATCGCCAGGTCCCGGTTGAATGTAGAGGCGTTGTATCGCGGATGTTTTATTATTTGGTCGACCTGTTCATTACATTATATCTTTATATATACAAATTACGCGTCACGTTGTTTGTCCGCGATGGATTCTTAAACTACTGAACCGATTGCTAATTTGAACATTGTGTGAATAGAATAGAGTAGAATAGAATAGAAAATCATTTATTCAAATAAACTTAATTTAAGCACTTTTGAATAGTCATAACAATTTGTTTTTTATCTACCACTCGTTCGGAAAGCTGTCTCATCACAAGAAGAACGAACAAGAAACTTGTGTGTTGCTCTTTTTTGTGAATTTGATCAAATTTGAAAGATACAATAGCTTACATCTCAATTTATAGTCGCAATATTATTTTATTCAAGAACGTTGGCCACCGCACCCCGTGGCCGGGTCTACTAGTATGTATATATAACACTAGCTGTCCCCGCGAATACGTTCGCCTGGAATACGACGACGAATTATGAAATTCCATACAAACTTTCATCCCCTATTTTACTTTCCCTTAATGATAAATTTTTTATAAACATTGAATGTCATTTATATTTATATTTCATCAACATCCTAAAAATAAGTTTCAATTCCATACATCCTTTCATCGCATCTCTCAACCCCTGTTCAACCCTTTTTTCGCATTAGTAGCATAAGTCCTTTTTCGGAGTCTAGATCCATATACCCAATGTTATTCGGCTCAGTAGTTTTGGCGTGAAAGCAAGACAGACAGACAGACAGAGTTACCTTCACACTTTCACATTTATAATATCATAAATATATATATTATAGGATATAAGGATTTTTAAACTTACAAATTTGATCTGTACGCCTTGCGTTGAGGTCCTGAGGTTATGTTTCCCCAAGTAGACAGAAAGGGTGTCTTTGTTGACCACTCTGTTACCATTCTTCAGGGTCACGCAGTGAGCCGCGGTGATGACGTGCCTATGTGACACCAGAGTACCACCGCAGATGTATTTGTTATCTACCGTCTGGAAATAATACAACACTTTCACGGCTGTAATTCCAAGAGGAGTTTTTTTAATGGATCATAATGGAATGGTGCACCCGCCTTCGCTAACGGTTTACGCTCGCGGGGCACCAGTGGAGGATGATAAGATGAACATGAGGTCAGGTCAGTCAGCGCATCAAAGTCTGTCTGAGAATAGAATAATATTATTTGTTTTAATATTATTTGTATATAGTCATATTGGATGTTAAATTAGAACTGAGAATAGATTAATATTGTTTGTTTTAGTATTATTTGTCTATGGTCATACTAGTAAATTAATTATGGTCGAATTTCGGCCACTGTTTGCAACCACTAGTTAAAATAGTTATAAGTATTCGGTTTCGGTCGGCCGTGTCAGAAGTCGATAACTCAGTTTTAGTGACATTTAAAATCCAATTTCGGTTGCTCACTAGTGCCATCTAGTCTTTAAATGGATGTAGAAATAGAAATAATAGAAATAGAAATAATCTTTATTCAAATAAACTCATTACAAGCACTTTTGAATAGTCATATTTTGATTCTACCACTCATTCGGAATGCAGATTCATCACAAGAAGAATGAGCAAGAAACTTGTGTGTTGCTCTTTTTTATAGATGTTTTTTTTTATATAAATAATTACAGTGTAACAAGTAAGAGGCATGCGACAATCAACATAGAAATCGCTACGCACTCATTATTAGTGTAATCAGATAATATTGTCAGTGCTATGTATTTAAAATTGTTCTACAAAAACATTATTATCGTTACCGAATTCTTCAATTTTATAGTAAGCTTTTTTGCAAAGGAAGTGTTTTATTTGACATTTAAATCTTTTTTCTGGCAGATTTATAACAGACTCTGGTATTTTATTGTAAAACCTTACGCAATTGCCATAAAACGAATTACTAACTTTAGCCAAACGACATGTTTTTGTCATTACTACAAAAGTGGTACCTGAGTTTGATAGAGAGCGATCTGCCATGGCCATTCTCCTTCGTAAGTCGGTTTCCCATTGAGCACTAGCAAGTTCGGATTCTGTCGCATCACTTTACCACATTGCACCTGAAAAAGGTTTTTTAATTAGCTTGGAAGTATCACAAATGAGTATCTCATATAGGTCCAAACTAAGAGGAGATGATTGTACTGTTACTAGTTAATTAATAAAGTATTTTTTCTGTAAATAAATTAATAAACACTAAGCACGTATATATTTTGATGGTCTCGATGGTCCAGTGGTTGCGGGTTCTATCTATATTATGTATGTCAAATTCAAATTCAAAAATCATTTATTCATGTAGGACATTTTAGCCGCTTATGAACGTAAAGTTTTTACATTATAATTTTTTTCCCCTACCGTCCAGTTCGGCATATAGATCCAATTGAGAAGAACTGGCAAGAAACTCAATTGAATTACTTTTTTTTTTAAATCCAGTTTATTTACAATGCAATGCAATAGATATTTATATAGGTGTCTATGTCTAACATTAAATGAAAATCCCGAACATGAAAACTATTGCCATGCACGCTCGTCATTCAAGTAATCGATTGGTGAGTAATAGGCCTTGCTCAGTAAATATGATTTAACAGATGTTTTGAATTTATTTAAGGGTAATTTCAATATATCCTTTGGTATGTTATTGTAAAATTTTATACCTATGCCCATAAAAGACCTATTGACTTTTTCTAAACGATACTTCGGGATGTATATATAAAATATGTATCCATGTATTTGTATCAGTTGTCTAATACCTATAACACAAGCTCTGCTTACCTCGGGAGTAAATGACGTTGTGTGATTTGTCCAGGGGTTTCATTATTAATATTGTACTGTAATTATATATTACATTAAGATAAATATAAAATAAAATCCCACTGTACAATTAATTTTGGCCGTTCCCGCCATTTTAGAATATATATATAAAATTTTAATCTGTACATTGTACAGACTACGTTCCAACCATCGACTACACATGTCACAGACAAACCCGAAATATTATACCACAAATATAAGTAGACCCATCTTGTAAAGAAATAATGAATTAATGGTGGACCCGCTTCCGCTAATGGCATATATAAGCTGTGGGGTCACCAGTGGAGGACGATAGGATGGAAATTAAAGAAGTTTAACTGCCAAGAATCATTAGGAATTAACCACTAACGTTTAGCTAGGCCGGTAATATTATAGGTATTTAAAAATTGGATGTCATCCGATGAAAGGTTACGACGCGACGTCGACCAGAATCGATCCTGCCTTATAATATATATTTGAACCACTAAACCGTAATGTTCTCGAACTCATGAACAAGGTCATGCTAAACCAGTTGAAATAAGTTTTCTTTTAATAATGCTGTTGGTCGCTGGTGGGACCGGATTGGAAACCAGTTCTTTTATAACTGCGAATCCTTTGAGTATTATTTCCAGGGTTGCCAACCTAAAAACATTTAGCTCGTATGTGGAATACAGGCCACTTATTTAGTCTATGATCTATTTTATAAGCTTTATATTTTGAATACCAAAATTCTATTCTAAATTGTCACTGTATTCTATTGTTACTTTTGGTTTCCCTTCCTGACCCTAGTTAGTAGTATTTCTTTATAATATAATAATAATGCACAATATATATCTACAATTCCCTGGTTTCCTTTATTTTATATCTTTTGAGTTCTCCACTTTCAGACTTCTCTTTCTCTTTTATGACTTATAGGAAGTTGCGTGGATCAGTTAATACAAATAGCATTATATACCATTATATCCCGCCCCCATCGTACAATGCACTCAAATCTCGTCACACCAATTTTAGTCATTTTTAATACCTCTACCCCTCGTCTGCCTCTGCAACATTTATGTTGGTTAATAGTTACAATTTCGGGTTTTAATATTATACGTCATACTCGTGAACGAGTGTTGCTTGTTGGGACTGGTTTAATGTTACGGCTGTTTTAATCCTATTGTGTATTTAATATCTGACCCTAATAAATTAGTGCTAGTTGGTGGTTTGTATTCACACGTTTTGAATTGGAAATGTAAAGTTACAATGATTCAAGTTTCTTGCTCGTTCTTCTTGTGATAAGACAGCTTTCTGAATGAGCGGTAGATGAAAAGGATGATAATTATGACTGTTCAAAAGTGCTTAATTTAAATTTATTTGAATAAAAGATTTTCTATTCTATTCTATAATTGAATTGTGATGTCACAAAATCTAACAGACATTCCAGAAGGGTTTTGTTAGGCAGTTCGGAGTATGAAGAGCAGCGAGTCAAAAACTCGTATCTGTACAGAGATTCTCGTGCGGTTGACATCCCTGGTTATTTCCTTATGACCACACCTTGTGACTTTAGCGTATAATATATAACAAAAATCCGTTCTAACATTATACATGCGAAAGTGTGTCTCTCAGTCTATCTGTCTATCTGCCTGCGCATTACCATTTCATAAGGAAACGGCTGGATGGGTCTTAATGAAATTTACCATGACATTAGTCCGTATCTTGAGAACTAAGGGTATCTTTTACTAAGCTATTTAATAAGCTTCATATATATGAAGCTTATTCAGTTTAGTTCATATATATATCTATATGAACTACTTTAGGTTTTAGTTATTCAGCCTTGTTCCTTACGACTGGACGGACAGGAATAAAATATGGTACTTTTGTGTGTCTGTCTATGACATTGTAGCTCCTAAATAAATGAACCGATTATGAAGTGTTTTTTATGGGTCCAATTTATTACTTATTATATATATTTAAACATACATAGAAAATAGACAGACCATACAAATAATCATACGAATACAAATATTTGCACAGTACGAGGAATCGATCCCGCGATCTTTGGAAGTAAGGCAGTATGCTAAACAGAAGACCACCACGGCCGTCAAACAAATAAATTAAAAAACACTTACATTCTGGGTATCCTGTACACCTGTATTTCCCGAGTTAGTATTCCCTCTCTTTGGTGGCAGTTGGATCAGTGGTTTCTCTCGATCGAAATATTCAGACGGGTCTATCGGCCGGCTGAAAGAAAAATAACTAGCTGTTAATAACGACTTTGTCTGCTACCTATATTGATTTTTTTTATTTAATAAGTAATATCCATTGATATGATGTAATCTAAGGTAAGGTAATAATTACAATAAGAAACCCAAGACTATTCATACATTCACGTCATTCAGTCCCAAGCTAAGCAGAGCCCGAGTTAATGGTATTAGACAACTGATACAAATACTTAAATATTTTTATTCTTTCTAAATACATACATATTCGTAATACAAAGAAAACACCCAGACCGATACAAACAACTATAATCTGGAATACAAATGTTTGAACCGTGCGGGGAATCAAACCCGCAACCATTACAAGTAAAGCGGTGTGCTAAACCGCTAGACCACCGAGGCATCAAATACCATTATGATCCGATATGCCGATTAGTTCTAATAACATAAACGCAAAAGTTTGTAACGTCTTTAGAACACACACTAGCGTTCTTAGTACTATATGTACTTATTCAATTTCAAATAATTTTATTCATAAACAATATTTCATTGTGTTGAATTCAATAATAATATGTCAAGTTAAATAAACACGGTAAATAGTTAGTTACATTTCAAATAGCATAATCTTGATGCACCAGAATCTGGCATAAGATACGTCAATCGAGTAAATTCATTTGTTGCAAACATTCCAACATAATGTTTTTAAAGTTTATTTCTAGAACTTTCTAGTTTTAGATTATATTCAAATCTATTATAGTAGATATATATTATAAATTTAGCTACTAGAACTTGTGCACTAGGGTGTAATTAAATTCAATTTAGATTTATAAGAAAAAAGTTTTATCGTTCTGCCTTCAAAAATGAAGAATTTCCATATAAACTTTCATTCTCTATTTTATTTTACCCTTATAAGGCTAAACTTTGAATGCCTTATTTATTTGACGACCTCGGTGGTCTAGCGGTCAAGCACACCGCTTTACGACCGATGGTCGCGGATTCGATTCCTCGCACGGCACAAACATTTGTATTCATGAGTATGATTGTTTGTATCGGTCTGGGTGTTTTCTATGTATTTAAAAAAAAATATCTGTGTATATGTATCAGTTATCTAGTACCCATAACACAAGCTCTAGCTAGCTTAACTTGGGTCTAGATGGCTCTGTGTGAATTGTCCTGAGATTATTATTATTATTATTTATATTTAATCAACAATTAAAGAAGTTTTAAGCTTCTAGCTTTAAAAATGACGATAATTCCATACAACCTTTAATCTACCCTTTTAACTCTATTTTTTCGCATTAAAAAGTAGATGTCCTTTCTTCAGTGTCTAGACTGTCTGTGTAGCAAATTTAATTTAAATGGTTCAGTAGATCTGGCGTGAAAGTGCGACAGACAGACAGAGTTACTTTCTTTTTACATGAAATAAAAGAGGTACATATTCACACTATAGTCTTAATTTTGGCGATTCCCGGCATCTTACTTGGTAAATGTTTTTAATAAAGTCTGTAGCCGCATAACTTTTTAACATGGCATAAATTTTATTTTTTCAACTGATTCTTTGTTATAAAACCTCATTCTTTAAGAACTCATTGGTTATAAAACCACATTGTGATTGTTATAGCGAGATATTTTCCCGCGCATTTTTTCCCCGCACATTCCATTTGTAAGGCGTACCTACTATATGTACATACATATATTAAATGCGGAAAAACAATGCAACCACAATCTACATTTATACGTCTACAGACTTGTTCTATGTTGTTTCCGTCGGTACAAAGTTTCATCCCCTATTTCAACCTCATTTCAGATTATTATTTGAGATTAAAGATATCTTATGTGATCTGAGGATGGACTTCGTGATCAGATCTTAATATAAATTGTCATTAATTTTAATATATACAGAAAAAAATATTTGATATATTTATATGAGATTTTTCCTTTGCTCACGACTTTGGGTAGGGAGCCCACATATCCTTTTCTTTTTTAAATGGCTTGGCACAGCCAAATATTTTAAATTAGGAATTGATGTATAAAAAAATATAATAATTTTGACTGATCATTATGAATACCACAACCAAAATATGTGTAGTTACATATATTTTTATTATTTTCCAAAATTAATAATATACTGTTAGGCTTAAAACTACTAGCATAATTATTCCACCACCAACTATAGAAATTGTAGAATTCTACCCGAAGTACCACCATGATGTTAAGGTATTCTGTTTAATTTAAAGCAGACAGGGAAGTGAAAATAATCTTTTTCAGTAGAGGTACAGAGCAATTAATATTATATTTTATAATAATTGGCACAGCCCTACTGAGAATAGAACCGAAATTGGAGTTTAGGAAATAACCTAACATTATATAGAATTATTGTTCTATAATAAAAAGAAGAGCTTGCATAAACAATAAGAGGCGCCTGCATATGCTCATTAAACATTCAAAATGAATATAAATAGGCAATGCTAAAAAATTATACAAAAATAATTGTTCAAGACCTGTAATTTTTATTTTATAAAAATTACAGATAATGTTGCCATTGTGAGACTTCGTCATAGCGTTGTTTATGGTATTCTGTTTATATACATAATTAATTATTATGAATTGAATAAGTAATTCATACTGTTTATTTCGATTAAAACTATTGTAGCTGACATAAAGCTCAATTATAAATACTATAAAAAAACAGAATATTTATGTAATAGGTTACTGTAAATATATATTTTATTAAATTTATTAAAATCGATTCATAATAATCATTTTAAAACTACAGAACTATATTCAAATTCGAATTCCATATTTGAAATTTAAAAATATAATCTTGTCTATAGTTCAGTCTTACCTTAGCTCCTCGAAATCGACTGGCTCACGATTACTATCTGTGGTGACGCGGAATGGCGGAGATGGGGTAAGTTTGAATCCAGGTTGGTTGATATTTAAACCGTTATGATTCGGCTGTTCATCATCTCTGGTAAAAAAAAAACAATTTCACAGATCTCAATATCATTGCCAATAACAAATCAACCAACCTAACCTGTTGTTAGTGAAATTTTTAGATAGATAGATAGGTATAGAGTATGAGTATACATGCGGGGTTTTTGTGCGAACTAACAAAACTACTTTCTATTTCTTAAAATTAGATATCATGCATATTTATATATATTATTATACACAGATTTTTCAGATATTATGTACACAATAAAGACATTTAATTTTGTAGAAAATTTAAATGTATTTTCTATTATTTATCAGCTGAATCACAAATTAATTCGTAAATATATAATTATTGTTTTATGAATAAAATTATGAATAAAAAGTAATATAAAATCAGTAGCTGACTCGTGCACCTTCCTCTGCATCACACTTATTTGACATATATTATATTTAGCTCAATTTACATAATATCTCTTTAAATTATAGCCTATTTAATTCCGATGTATAAGTTATATTACTGTAAAGTTACATCAATGTCCGTTCAGTTGTTTTTGCGTGAAAGCGTAACAAACATATCCATACTCACAAACATTAGCGTTTTTAGTAATAGTATGTAATATTATTTTATCTGTGCTATTAGTAAGCGAAAATGAATATGAGTTATGTACTGTTAATTATTCATTACAATAATATTATGTAACTAAAATAATTTCACGGTTAGTGTGGGGGAAGTAGTAATTATTGTCTGTGTACATAAACAGCACCAGGGTTGTAATATCCTTGCTGTTGTCCCATTGCTAAGGACAGAGAGATAAGGCCTTACACCTTACAAAAGGGAAGGTAAGTAGGGTAAAAAGAGAGCACCTTACCTCAGATGAATACATCTAAGGTATACGGTGCTTCCTTTTTGCCTGTTATTATGTATACATCTATACATATAAATAAAATTGGAGTGTCTGTTTGTAATACTGAAATAACCGTTTTTTACTGCATGCATTTGAATACAAATACGGTACATACACCAAAATAACATTATTTACAATTTTTATCTGCCTCTGTTCCGGCTAACCTCTGAAATGGCTGGACCGATTTTGACGGGACTTTTATTGGCCGTTGGACTTGAAACAATGGTTGTCACGTACGATTATGATCTTTTGCGATGGCCGTACAAGAAATAACTTCTTCAGGTATTTTTTAAGGGATCAAAATAGCATGGAGGAGGATTATAGGATAAGCATGACGTCAGGTTAGTTCGTCATGGTTAATTCACCAGGAATTAATGACGATGGTTTTCAAAAGGAACCTAATTTCCTTCTTCGTTAGCAATAGATAGAGTGATTCAAGAGGAAGTTTTACGTGTATAAAACATGTACACCAGTGTTAACGCGGGGCGGGTAGCTAGTGCTATGAAAAATAAATAAATAAATAATGCACAATTAACAGCATCATCTAGTCCCAAGCTAAGAGCCTGTGTTAAGGTACTAGACAACTGATACAAATACTTAGATATCTTTTTCTTTTTTCAATACATACATAATACGCAAAGATAACACCCAGACCTATACAAACAACCACACTTATGAATACAAATATTTGCACCGTGCGAGGAATCGAACTCGCGACGGAATCGACGCGATCGAAACCCTTATATTCGTGGAATTTAATATAAGTAGTAGACTATTAGTGCGGTCAAAAGTTCATCATAACTAATTACTTTGCTGTACATTACTTAGAAATATAGTGTCAAATCGTTTCTACGTCTAATAGCTTAATAACAAAAAACCGCTACAAGGAAAATTCCGCGTCTTGTTTGTCTTTGAGAAAGACTAGCTGTACTCGCGACTTCGTCCGCGTGGAAAATAAAAGTGGCCTAAGTTACTCCTTATTACATTTATTATTTAGGAATTAGGGGATTTTTCTGACTAAAATTACATTCAATACTTAGTATATAACGGAAATATTCGTAAAATATAGCTATACTCGCGACTTCGTCCGCGTGGAAATAACTTTATTTTTCTAAAATAAAAGTAGCCTAAGTTACTCTTTATTACATCAGCTACGTCCCAAAAAAAGTACCGTCAAAATCGGTCCAGCCATTTCAGAGGTTAGCCGGAACAAACACACAGACAGACAGATAAAAATTGTAAATAATGTTATTTTGGTGTATGTACCGTATTTATATTCATATGCATGGAGTAAAAAACGGTTACTTCAATATTACAAACGGATACTCTAATTTTATTTACATGTATAGATGTATAGATGTGCGCTTGAGGTTTTTTACCTTTACTAAAAATAAAAGAAAAAAACTTTGAATGTAATTTATTTTTATGTATTGTCGACCTGCGATGTTTATATTAAAATACGTATACATATATAACATATTATGACAAATATATGTTATTCCCATTTCAAAAGAGCAACACGCAAGTTTCTTGCTCATTCTTCTTGTGATGAATCTGCGTTCCGATTGAGTGGTAGAATAAAAAATATGACTATTCACAAGTGTTTGTATTAAGCTTATTTGAATGAAGATTATTTCTATTTCTATTTCGTACGCGTGGTACTTGTATATAGAAGGTATTATACATATAAACCTTTCTTTTGAATCACTCTATCTATTGTTAAAAACTGCATTAAAATCCGTTGCGTAATTCAAAAGATATAAGCGAACAGACAACGGCGGCGACTTTGTTTTATTTTATACTAGCTACTCGCCCAGGCTTCGCTCGGGTGTACATGTATTATATATAAACCTTCCTCCAGAATCACTCTATCTATTAAAAAAAACCCAAAATCCTTCTAAATCCGTTGCGTAGTTTTAAAGATTTAAGCATACATAGGGACGGACAGACAGCGACAGCGACTTTTATACTATGTAATGACTATGTAAAGATATATATTTTAAAATATTATAACATACAATATTAGCTACCAGTGAATGTAAGTCTAGTCAAAATCGATTCAGCCGTTTCAGAGTTTAGCAAAAATAAACAGACAGACAGACGAAAATGTTTAAAATATTATTTTTGATGTACCATACTTTCATATGAGTTTAGTGAAAAGTTGTTTATTTGAAATTATAAATGTTTGTATATAAGTAAATTTGTTACAATTCAGATTATTACTGTTCCACAAAGGCTATAGTGACTATTGTAACCATCAGATGGGCCGTATGCTTGTCTGCCACCATAATAGTAAAAAAAGCAAGGTTTTCTGTTAATACTTTAGCTGGTACTGGTTTTGTGCAAGATTGTTCAACGGCCTCGGTGGTCTAGCGGTATAGGACACTTCTTTTCTTTCGATGGTCGCGGATTCGATGTGGGGACACGGTATAAACATTTGTATTCATGAATAAGATTGTTTTGGTATATTGGTCTGGGTGTTCGCAATGTATATTATGTAGGTATTAAAAAAACAATTATGTATTTATATCAGTCGTCCAGTACCCATAACACAGGCTTTTATTTTTTTTTATAACACAGGGGACAAACGGGCATGCGGCTCACCTGATGGTAAGTGATTACCGCCGCCCATGAGCACCCGCAACACCAGGGGAATTGCAAGTACGTTGTCGGCCTTTTAAAAAGGAATAAGCTCTTTTCTTGAAGGTTTCAATATCGTATCGGTTCGGAAATACCATTGCTGGAAGGTGATTCCACAATATATACTTCTGCTTAGTTTAGGAATATATGGCGCTGTGTTAATTGTCCAGGGTTTTTTATTTAATAAAGAATAAATAAATAAAGAATAAATAAATAAACAACGAGTCATTTTAACATGTATCATATTGGTTAAGATATGACTAAATAACGTTTACAGTTATCAGAATCAGTAGCCAATGTGATTAGGTAAACGACTAGTTAATTTCATCTGCCATTAGAGTATAATTAGGTAAATTAGTTCCGGAATTAGGGGATTTTTTTGACTAAAATTACATTCAATACTTAGTATATAACGGAAATATTCGTAAAATATTAATAACTAGCTGTACTCGCGACTTCGTCCGCGTGGAAGTAACTTTATTTTTCTAATATAAAAGTAGCCTAAGTTACTCCTTATTACATCAGGCCAATAAAAGTCCCGTCAAAATAGGTCCAGCCATTTCAGAGATTAGCCGCAATTAACAGACGGACAGATAAACAGACAAAAATTGTAAAAATATTTTGGTGTATGTACCGTATTTATATTCATATGCATGTAAAAAACTGTTATTATAATATTACAAACAGACAGTCCAATTATATTTATATGTATAGATTAATATTAACATGTACTGTTTACATAAAAAATGAGGTCATATGGTGCCTAAAACCAATGGAATGGAATACATACTCGATGCATCCCGTAGCACTGTTGTATAGTAATGTAGGATAATCTATACCTATAATAAAACTGCAGAGGTCGAATTTCTGTACATAGAAAAAAAAACACAAAAAACTGAATCAGCCGAGTCATGTTACAAATGAAATAGATTTTTTAAATTTATTGTTTCTCTGAAAAAAACAACACACTGTACAAACAGTGTACAGGCTAATCTCCGAAACTGTTGGACCGATTTAAATGAAATTTTGCATGCAGGTAGGTTTTAAATAATAACCCTGGACACTTCATACAGCGCCATCTAGTTTATTCCACCATGCTAAGCAGAACTTGTGTTATGGCGACTAAACACTTGATACAAATATTTACATATATACATTTATTTTTGTAAATGTATGTATTTACATAAGAAAACACCCAGATCAATATTCATGAATACAAATGTTAAATCATGCCAGTAATCGAACCCGCGACCATCGAATGTAAGGTGTAAATGCTTAACCGCTAGAGGTCATCTCAGTTAAAATGATTTCTTTGTGTAATCATTTTAATATTAATGTGTTTAGTAGTTTTTTGCGTGAAAGAATTACAAACATGTAAGATTCCTCATAAACTTTCGCGTTTATATGCCAAAATGTAGTGGTTACTTGTTCTGTGAAAATTAGTAGAATTTCTACCGCCAATCAGCTTCCTTTACAATTTATGTTCCGGGTGAGATTTGGTAGTATATATGGGTTTGAAGTTTTTTTTTAATAACACAGGGGACAAACTAGCATGCGGCTCACCTGATGGTAAGTGATTACCGCCGCCCATGATCACCCGAAATACCAAGGGAATTGCAAGTACGTTGTCGGCCTTTTAAAAAGGAATAAGCTCTTTTCTTGAAGGTTTCAATATCGTATCAGTTCGGAAATACCATTGCTGGAAGGTGATTCCACAATGTGGTTATGCGAGGCAAAAAGTTTCTAGAAAACCGCACTGTGGAAGACCGCCATTCATCCAGATGATCAGGATGGTATTTCAGTTTCTGGCGGGTGGTACGGTGGTGAAACTCAGCAGCTGGTATTAATCCGAACAATTCCTCAGAACACTCCCCGTGACATATGCGGTAGAAAATGCACAGGGATGCAATATCACGCCGCGAAGCCAATGGGTCGAGTCTGTCACACAGACGTTGATTACCAATGGTTCTGGCTGCTCGGTTCTGAATGCGGTGAAATGGAAGTAGCTAGTTTCGGTTTGAAGTATCATAAATAGCAGTGCATGAGCATTACTACTGGCTTCTAGAATAGAATATAATCTATTTATAGCAATACAGCCGTCCTATAACGCGGTGTCCGTTCAACAGCATCTCATGAATTCCTTCCGAGCAGCCTATGAATGACTCTAGTAACAATCGAAAAGCAAGTGAAGATGAACCAAGTGAGGAAGACATTTTGCCCATTAACACATTATAGACCGCATGACCAATTTTTTTCAGTATTCTGGAAATTCATTATATTAACAATGCTTTACGACATTTTTCTAATTTTTATACTATTTTCAATTGTTCATACGAACGGGCTACAGGTAGGTTCTTTTTTGGATGAAAATCAAGTTACGTTTAATTCTAAAACGAATTTGTTTAAAGAAAACTTGTCTAGTGCGAAACGTTAATATTAGATGTCTTATTCTATGTACAAACTTGCATTTAGTTTAATTAGTTATTGTAGAAGATTTTCATAGTAACACTATTTAATATTATGTTATCTGTGGTAACACGTTTTATATGAAGAGGCGTCGACATGCAGCCTTAAGGATATCATTTTCGTTGTAACCTTTATGAAGACGTTTGTTCTGTTCCTGTAAGTAGGCGTCTATGGCTATTAGGTTTACCATTAAATGAGCCTTCAGCTTGTTTACCATTCCAGTCATATAATATACTACCAAATAATGAATGGTAAGTTTGTCGATTTATGGTTCAAATTAAGAATACAAAATACTCACATTTTCGATGGTATAGGTTCATTTACTGGAGGCGTATATACAGGTCCACTATTAGTAGGGGTTCCATGAACTGGTCTTGTTATTGGAGTATCTTGTGGCTTCAGACCCTCATACAAAGTTGGTCTATCCGGTGTATTAATAGGTCGTTGATTTGAAGGCTGATTGGACCAACTTGATTGTTCTACTGGCTTTTCAACCTCAACCTTCGTTGGCCTTGTCGAAGGCTTTGTAGGCTGAGGTTTTGTCTGCTGCGGCCTGGGCTTGGGGTTCCGAGTTGGTTCCCCATCTTGTACAGTCTCGAAAGTGTCCGGACGAGGGATATCGGCATTGCAAATCTCCCTTCCATTCAATCTAATGGCTTTTAATTTTGGCGCCGGTGGACTTAATGGACTGTACTGCACGAAGAAACGGACGGCTACCGCTGGGCCAGGATGTATTTTCATCTTTGTGTTTTCAACCTTAAAGTCTATATTGTCTGTTGTCGACACATCTCCTACCCAGTTCTGTTTTGGAAAGAAATTAAATGAGGTTACAAATAATAATATAGTACTACTAGATCACTAGTGTTATCCGAGATAGTCAGACGCATATAGATAGGGTAGTCAGACGCATTGCTAAATGTATATCTTATATCTATCTTTTTATATTGTTAAATTAGCTACTTGCCCTGGCTTCGCCTGGGTGTACATGTATTATAATTATTATGTATTGTGTTATAAACCTTCCTTTTAAATCACTCTATTAAAAAAAACCGCTTCAAAATCCGTTGCGTAGTTTTAAAGATTTAAGCATACATGGGGACGGACAGACAGCGACAACGACTTTGTTTTATACTATGTAATGATTAATAAATCAAGAGATTATACATTACTATCCATAAAGTGGTTATACGACGTCTGGCCAAAATAGATTTACTCGAAATTTAAATCTTAAGTTAATTTGAATTCTAAACGCTTAACATAATAATATAAAAAACTAACTAACTAGAGCACGGATTATATACCTGTGGAGAAAAAATAAAGTATATATTGTATTAAATAAATAAATAAATACAACAATAATTACCCCAAGTATATCAGCCTTCTTGTCCAACACAATATTCAGCCATAATGAGTGCAAAGTATTGTCTGTTGACAGATTGACCACTCCGTACCACCTGCCGGGCTCCGTGCCCGGTGGTTCGTACATGAAGACATTGGGGCACGGCGATATAGGCGCGGAGTCTTGTGCGAGACCAGGTGCAACGAGAGCTGTGACTAGGAAGCCAATTAAGGCTCTAATCTGGAATGAGAACATTGTTAGTAAGTCAATAGGATTTGATAAATGTTAGCGTCAAGTCCTTTGCGTGAGTAACTCAGTTTTCAACTTTCTCTTCTCTATTATTTCAACCGTAAAGCAGCTTGCTTTGTAAACTGCGTTTCCGTTGTAAGGTACAGATTAAGTTTTTTTTTCGGACTACTCTAATGCTGTTGGCCGCAGCTGGCCTTTACAGCTTCACCGGACGTTAGGAGCCGAGTGCAGATGGCACTCCAAACCCGCGGAAGGACTTATCGAGCGGCTGAAGGCCAACTCCTGCCTGACAGATGCGACTTTAGTCCGAGGGCACCACTAGGGGTTCGAACCTCGCCTCAGGCCGTCGTAATTTCGATCCCCGTTTGAATTGGACGGGGGATGGATCGGAGGGGCGCCCAGGGGCGCCGGTGTGGAGTGCCCGGGCGCGCGCAGGCGCCCGATTGAATGCGCGATATTGTGTGTTTGAGGTCGTCGTCTTCACCGGCGAGGACGGTGTCGTGTGTGTGTGTAAAAGTGTGGTCGGGGTGGAACGGGAACAGATTAAGTAGTGAAATTATAGGATAAGAGACGTCTTAATCATCTGGAATAACAAAGCATGAATGGTGTCACGGGTACTTGATACGGATTACATAATAACGTGATAACCGTAGTGTCGTTCATGTAAATAGGCATAACGTAATGTCCGTAGTTCATATTCCTGTATGTACGTAGGCGACGGTTACTGCTTACCATCAGGTGTACTGCTTGCCATTCTAATAAAATAAGAAAAATACTATAACTGTAATAATCTCATTAGTGTATTTATTATAATCAATTGATATCCTTAGTGGTGTGGCGGTTTAGCACACCGCTTAATTCCGTTGGCCGCTGGTTCGATTTTTCGCTGAATATCATTGTTTGTATTGGTCTAGGTTTTTACTATGTTTATTCTGTATGTATTTATAAATACAATATGTATTTAAGCATTTATATTAGTTGTCATAACACAAACTCTACTCTTAACTTGTATTATCATTTAAATTAATAGGAACCAGTGGTCATCCAGTGGTCGATATTGGACCATAATTAATTTAACATTGAGTAAGACGATGACCACAGACTTACGATAAACAAAAGAGCATATATACTAGCATATACTAGCTACTCGCCCCGGCTTCGCACGGGTATACATGTATTATATGTATATACAAAGCTTTCTCGCAAATCACTCTATTAAAAAAAACCGCGTCAAAATCCGCTGCGTAGTTTTAAAGATTTAAGCATACATAGCGACAGACAGCGATAGCAACTTTGTTTGTGTTTAATTGAAACTAAGGGATCCAAAGGGACTCAAACAATTACATGCAGACAAATAACACAAATGAATTTGGCACGTTTTAAAAATAAAATTGAACATAAAATATCTAGTGTCATAGTACCTCAATATGACCCGGACATTGTATGTGAACATATTTTTAATTTAATTGAACTTGAAGCTAGCAGTGAATTTAAAATAAAAACCTTTTCAACTAGTGTAAAATCAAAGTTTTGTGACTGGGCCACGTTTGGTATTTATAAGTCTAGGGCTAATCTTTACGAACTTTACGAAAAACGAAGCTATATATCCGATCCCTTATTTCATGAACATGTAAAATCTTATTAGAAAATATTTAAAAAGGTTTGTCATACAGCTAAGTCTCTCTATTTAGGTAAAATAATAACTAAATCTAAAGATAAAATAAAAGCCACTTGGAAAGTAATAAATAGCGAAACTGGAAAAGTTAATTTTCAAAATAGTAAAATAGCTTTAAATATTAATAACAAATTGGTAAATTCCGACACAGAGGTCGCGGATACATTCGAATCTTATTTCACTAATATTCCATTAATTACGACACAGGCTCTAAAATCTTCCCCGTCTGCTGCTGAAACTTTACTAACAGACAATGTTAGCAAGTCATCAGCTGTATTTAACTTTAGACATACATCATCAGTAGAAATAATGAAAATATTCAAACAGCTTAATAATAAAAAAACAGAGGATCTATGGGGTATATCTGTTAAAATACTAGATAGTATAATGGAAATTATTGCGCCCTCTCTTGCTTTTATTTTCAATAAATGTATAGATGAAGGTAAATTTCCTAACATAATGAAAATTAGTAAAATCATACCGCTTTTTAAATCTGGAGATAGAAGTGACCCAATAAATTATAGACCTATATCTATACTCCCAGCACTCAGTAAAATTTTTGAAAAAATAATCCTTATGCAGCTTGTCAGTTATTTCAATTTAAATAATTTAATCCACAATAGTCAATTCGGTTTTTCCAAAGGTCGTTCAACTACAAACGCAGGTGCAGAGTTGCTTAGACACGTATTTGCTGCATGGGAAACTAAAATGGATGCGATAGGTGTTTTTTGTGACCTTTCTAAGGCTTTTGATTGCGTTGATCATAATACATTGCTAAAAAAACTTGCTTTTTATGGCGTCAAAGACAATGCTTTAAATTTAATAAAATCTTATCTATCTGATAGAATACAGAAAGTGAAGGTTAGCAACGCTACGTCTGACGGGTCACTTGTGCAAATGGGTGTACCTCAAGGATCTATTCTCGGTCCATTTTTATTCCTAGTTTACATTAATGATCTCCCATATGCCATGCAGGATAGATGCGGCATAGTATTATTTGCAGACGATACTTCATTGATTTTTAAAGTTAATAGAATGACTAATAATTATGACGATGTAAATAGTGCTTTGCGGTGTCTCCTGCACTGGTTTACAACTAACAATCTTATGTTAAACGCTAAAAAAACAAAATGTGTTAATTTCTCTCTGTCTAAAAGTTTTAATACTAATTGCAATATTAAATTAAATGACGAATCTCTGGAATTTATAGAATCTACTGTCTTTCTAGGAATCACACTAGATAATAAAACACAATGGGGTGCACAAATTCAAAGCCTTGCAGCGAAACTAAGTTCAGCAGCTTTTGCCGTGCGTAAGGTTAGACAGTACACTGATACTGATACTGCTAGATTAGTCTATTTTAGTTATTTTCATAGTTTACTCTCTTATGGAATATTACTATGGGGAAAAGCGGCAGATATTAAAAATATATTCATATTACAAAAACGTGCCGTTCGAGCGATCTACTGTATGAAGAGTCGTGACTCATTAAGAGAGAAATTCAAAGAGGCAAATATTCTCACCGTTGCTTCTCAATTTATATATTCAAATATCCTATATGTTCATAAAAATCTTGACTTATTTCCAAAAAACAGCAATATTCATAATATTAATACAAGATTTAAAGACAAACTTGCTGTCCCCAAGTATCGTTTAGAAAAAGTTAATAGGTCTTTTATGGGAATAGGTATAAAAATTTACAATAAGATACCAAAGGATATGTTGGAATTACCCTTAAATAAATTCAAAACATCTGTTAAATCATATTTACTGAGCAAAGCCTATTACTCACTAAACGATTACTTGAATGACGAGTGTGCATGGCAATAGTTGTTCATGCACTGAATTTTCATTTAATGTTAGACATAGACACCTATATAAATATACATTGTAAATAAACTGGCTTTAAAAAAAAAGTAATTCAATTGAGTTTCTTGCCAGTTCTTCTCAATTGGATCTATATACCGAACTGGACGGTAGGGAAAAAAATAAAATTATAATGTAAAAATTTGACGTTCATAAGCGGCTAAAATGTCCTACATGAATAAATGATTTTTGAATTTGAATTTGAATTTGAATTTGTTTTATACTATGTAATGATGGCAATTACATGGTTGTGTGTGTAATGTTTTTTTATTGATTTCATGTATTTTTTATGCATAAGTTTAAAAAAATATATTAACTTTCTGCACACCTTCTCTATATAAACTATTAGTGTGCAATTTCATACTCTTCCGTCTGCGAAGTTTTCGTATAAAAAGTTTTTACTTCACGTATCAATGATAAGCGATATCGTGTAATCATAGAACATAGACATAGAATGCCTATAGAATCTCGACATGGAATTCAAACCCCTCCTTATTAAATAAGTTGACGAGTTATGTGACTTTGGGAAATGCGAAAGGAATTCACTGGAATGGGAACGTAAGTGTACTGTACTTACTGACTGAACTTAGATTGCTATCGGAATTCCATAAACGCATTCAAAATTAGATCACAGCAAATGGACGAAGTAGATAAATATAATGTACATATATCTAACGACATGACCGATTTTGATTAAATTTTATATGTATAGTCAGTAGGTCTGAGAAAAGGTTTATATTTTTATTCCCCTAAGTGTTATGGGTGGCTCATTCCTTTAAAAAATTTTTGACAATTATTTTTATATTTTTATAAAATCGCTATTAAACAATAGGGGTTGATGCTGAAAGGTTTAGGGTTGTTTGTATTTTTTAATGCTACAAAAAATACAAACAACCCTAAACCTTTCAGCATCAACCCCTATTGTTTAATAGCGATTTTAATATATGGCAAAATTTATAAAGCAAAGCAACGTTTGCCGGGACAGCTAGTATATATACATATATTATACTTAGTAATTACACCCGCATGAAATTTATAGCCTATGTGTTATTATTACGGAACAAATTCTATAATCTGTGGTTTTTCTGATGTATAAGCTATATTACTGTAAAGTTTCATCAAAATCCGTTCAGTAGTTTTTGCATGAAAGAGTAACAAACATCCATACTCACAAACTTTCGCGTTTATAATATTATTAAGAGTGTATTTTTATTTTGCTTCCAACGGTCCAAAAGTCACCTTTATACTACCAATATATAATAGAGGTTAATTACAATCAGTATCACAGATCTCTTTTTTAATTTAATAAAACACAAATAGAATAATTACGACAAGACATCCTCGTTTATCATAAATTATGCATGAGATTATAATTTTTGGTTCTATGAAAATTTATTCGTCACTTTACGCCACAACGCGTTTTGTACGACGAGTCCGAGAGGCAGTTATT